ATTTTTTCCTGAGCTTATTTGAGGAGATATTTCAAAATAAATGTCACTTCATTGTTACCAGTTTTCCTCCTCTACAAGACAACATTATCAATTTTAAAATTTGACGTTTCATCTTTGGGCCACCATCATCAACTTAATATTTTCAAATGCGGAACTTTATTTTATATTTTATAGGCTTCTGATGTCCCAAAACCAATAACTTATTGCACTTATTTGCAAAATTTATATTATTTGCACTTTTCATAAGAACTCAATGTGTTAGACAGAGAGACAAAGAAGATAATTTTGCTAGGAAATTACTAAAAAGTGAACAAAATATTTTTTTGAATAAATGCGGTACGTCATAGGCTTTGGGACATCAGAAGCTCTTAAAATCTGAAATAGAAAATCAAGTGCCGTATTTAAAAAAAAAAAAATTAGTCCGATGATGGTGGCCCAAAGGCGAAACGTCAGATTTTAAATTTGAAAATGATATTTTGTAGAGTAGTTGGACAATTTTTGTTACGATGAAGTGACATTTATTTTGAAATATCTCCTAAAATAAGCTTAGAAAAAAAAACCGAATTTGGAAAATTTCGGGTTTTTCCGGATATCTCGGAAAGTGTTCGGAGTTTTTCAAATGTCAAAGTACCACTTTATTGAGAGTTAAATTGTGCAACTTTTTCCTAATCTAACCAACATTGTAACTCAAACAGTTCTCCAGATCCTAATGCTATTCCATCCTTATCTTGGACATACTGTATACCCGTCTGGCAGAAACTTGCAACCGCAAGAATAGGCTGGCTGTTTACATAATAATATACTTGTTAAATCAATAAAATTAAATTCTCCTTACAATTTCAGCCTTGTGAGAGAAGGTTACAAATTATTATCCCCATAACAACATTGCTATCTTGTGGCACATACTTGCAACCCTTAAGTAGATTTTTTCAATTAAAAAAATTACAATTTCAAAAACTTGAGAGATGACGTAACCACGAGATGCTTGCCAAAACGGTACTTTCTCAATTGACCGATACTAAAACATTATTTAAAAAATGTCTAGCTTTGTGAGAAACGGGATGATAGTCGGATGAACCGCTGGCTTTCCTACTATTTCTGAAATCACAATGGAGAGCATTGAATTTGAATCAACGACTTTGGATTTTTTACAACTTTGGTGTTGATATTGCCCCTTCAACCCAATAATACAATCAAAGAAACGGTGTAAGAACGCCAAATATTATTTCTATTAGGTACCTGAAAAATTAAAGATAACCGTGGTACCCACCCGTCCCGTCGTATATGAAAACTGAAAAGATCTCTAAGGTTATCCCAAATATTCCAAAATCAAAAAAAAGTCCCTCAGCCCATTACATATTATAATAAACTGTAGCACAGACTGTAGTTAAAAGCAACACATAATCAGATTACTACATAACGTATATATCACATATAGCCCAAGAATCGTAAACACAGGATTGCTCATCCTCATAAGGCGTACTTGCGCCAATTCTCGAGTCGACAGCAGGTCTGCGAGTGACGTCTCCACTATCAGCAGCATCAAGTTATTCTCACTTGCGCAAAAGAGCGAATTTCGCTCTTTTTTGACATTGCTTCGACAATTTGACGTTTGATACACGCATAAAACGTCGAATTGTCGAAGCAATATCAAAAAAAGAGCGAAATTCGCTCTTTTTGCGGGAAATTCTTTCTTTTTTTGACATTGCTTCGACAATTTGACGTTTTATGCGTGTATCAAACGTCAAATTGTAGAAGCAATGTCAAAAAAAGAGTGAATTTCGCGCAACTGAGAATGAAGCTTATTAGTGGTGACGTCCCTTGCAGACCTCGATGGATTGCTTGTGATTCAAGATGTGCTTGTAAGTTAAATTTTTTCTTGATTTTGAATGTAGAGGTGATTTTAACGTTAAGAAATTCATTTTTTTGGTTCATAGTGTTTTACACTCGGATAATGCATTTTACGCCAATAGTTAAAGTCTGAGGCTGACATGGCAGACACTTTCATGTTTATTTTTTGTAAAAAAATTTAATTTTTAGTACCTAATCAGGCGGTTTTTGGCAAAAATGCTCCAAATTGAGTTCCTAACTTGATTTCCGGATATCTAATTCCAACTTCTACATTCCTGCTGCTCACATCATGGAAGCTTTTGTAAAAAATCTTGAAAAGTTGCTGAAACCATTCGAAAGTCCTTTTTGAACTGCATGTTAGAGAGAAGAACGTGACACGGACACGATTATTTCTTTTGCATAGGCCTCAACCTTTGCAGAAGGACCAGCTTCTTCTTTTCATCGTCGTCATCATCAAAAATCGTTTGATGACCACGAAAAGCTACCAAAATTGCCACATAGCCATAAACAATGAAAAATAAACACTTCAAAACACCAAAAAGCACGAAAAAATCGTAAAAGAAAACCGCCGGTAGAAGCGAGGTTAGAAGTTTGTTTATTCGGCCAGGCTGTTCACGTGACCAAAAATCTGTCCCAGTGACCCAGTCTGCGATGCAAATACCAAACTCAGCAATTTCAACAAGTAAATTCGTTTTTGTTTAACCTTGGTGTTTTGAACTCGGCGAACGCATGTTCCACTAAGAACTAGAGATGCGCACGATATATCGATGTTCCAAAAACATCGATTTATATTTCCGATGTTCCATATTTTTTTATTCGACATTATTGATAATATTAGGGAACATTGATGTTTTTTTCCCATGTTTTCTTCTAACTACTACACCAGTTTTCAGTAGGTACTGAATGAGGTCCCATTTCAATATTCCCCAAAGACCAAGGAGGAAATTTTAAGTATTGTTTGATCTGAATTCTCAATATATTTGAATCTGTTTTCAATTTTATATGTGATTCTAGTAATGCTTTGTTTTTGTGTACAAATGGTCTCCACTGATCAGAGGTTTGTTGGGGTCCAACACCCAGGACATTCATATGATTTGTAAATGCTAGCTCCCCATATACTGCTTCACAGTAGTTCTAGATAATCTTTTCGCCCTATTAATTTGAATAAAATGTAAAATGTAAAATGAGCTGCAGAAAAATAAACCCTATAAGGTTTGTTACAAACTTCTAGAGATCGTAGATCTCGTGAAAATTAAGTTTTTTTTTTGATAAACATATGTCGGGAAATGCTTCGCTTTCCAGTTAAACTCTGCAAAAAAAGCCATTTTTTTTTTTTTAATTCTTAGAAATGCGTTGGACGAATTAAATGAAATTTTCATAGTTTGTTGACACCTTTATGAGGTATCCGTTGGATTGCTCAGAGTTGACCTAGTAATTCCAGGGACGTGCCATAAGTTCTGTCGGATGGTTTTTTTGCACGAAAAACATCGTCCAGTAGATTTATTTTTAATTAGAATATGTTTTTTTGAATAGAGCACTTAAAGATACAACTTTTTTGTCTCTTCATTTTTTTCCGTAAGCTGCTTTATTTTCGAGATAAAATTTAAAAACCATTTCAGGCGAACCACACGAACGCCACTGACTTCCATAAATGCGTTTTTATTCTCATCAAATTTTACCGATGGATCCACCATTCTATGGCTGTCATTGTCATTTTCCATTCACTAAACAAAGATGGCTAACTCATCGCTGAAGTCACCGATGAGAATAAAAACGAGGGGATTACTCTTCCATTCCTAAAAGCCAGCTTAACATCAAAGAAATTCTGAAATCACGATTCGACACACGACTCTACAACGACTACCGAGACGCAACTCGGTACCGGCCCTGTCATCTCGAAAGGTAGGATTCCAATGAGATTCCAACCTAGTGGAATCGTGATTTTAGAATCCCCGTCCAGGCTATTTTTCGCGACATAATTAGGCATTCCAACGACCTGTCAAAAAGTGCGTTGTAGCAGAAGTTCATTATCCCGTATATGAGAGTATGTAATTTAAAGCTTTTTAAAGTGCATTTGGTGGTTGTTTTGTGAATGAACTCTGTTTGTTTTTTTATTTTATTGACTTTATTAGTGTTTCTTCCAATTAAAAATGCCACAAACGGGTCTTGAAGTTGATTGTGGAAGTAGTTTCAACAAGGTAACAAGGATAATGTCAGGCTTTTTTCATTGCCCTTTGTTTTAAAATTTTCCAATCAAAACGTGAAAATTTTTCAGTACCACTGTTCCTGCATCTGAAATAAAGCCATTTTCGAAATATTCGTAAGAATCTTAGCTTTTGTAGGCCTTCATTTGCTCATTAATGTGAACTCTGTGGATCAAAATGTGATCTGGACATTTTTTTAAACTAACCGTTCGCCCAGATCCCGATTTTCCTGCATTCAAGTCTTTAAATATTCACTCTGCATCTCAAAAAGTATATTATAACAAAGTAAACTGTAATTAGCTTGAGAATATTCCAAATAAACTCAAGATAAACAAACAAACGTCAAATTTTCCACGGTCGCCATATTGAAAAATCACGTGGTTTGGGAGAGCCTAATTTTTTCAAAGGTTATGTTCGATTATGTTGAGTAATTTGATGATTACCCAATGACATTTGCATTACCCAACATAATCTTTGGAAATATTGCCTATCTTCTGTTATCGATTCCGTCAATCATACCGATATAACATCTACTGTTATTGTATATGTTATCTATTCCCTGTTAGCGTAACAACAGAATAGCGTTAAGTTTAACGTGAACGTTCAATCATAGGACCCTATAAAGCGTATATTTATTTACAGTTTAATTTTTTTCTTCTTCATCGATAGTGCATATTCGAGGAATCATTTGGTGACAACATCGATGTTTTCAAATTTTTGCACATCCCTACTAAGAGTTTAGGCCTGCGGTTTAAAATGGCAGACACGTGATTTCTAGCTCAATAAGCTTATTCTTTCTTGCACATAGCCTACTTAGATGAGCATGTCATGTGACCGATCTTCTTCGATTAGGCAGAGCTCAAAAAGGCAGAACACTTGTTGCCTCTCTCTAACATTAACAAGTTATTAGACAGAAGATATTTTGACAAAATGAATTACAACAATCACAAATCACTTTTACTTTCCAAATATTCAAATATGGCGTTTAAGTTGAAAAACACTGTCCTGTCAGAGAACTGTTCCTGTTTTTAAATAAGTTTGTTTTAAAACCAAAAAATGGAGTCTCCTCTCGGTAAACCCCAGTTATGGTTAAATCCAGTGGAAAGAGTGCGCTTTATGTGGACCTTGCCAGAATTTAGTAATTTGGGGAATTTGGAAAGTTTGCAAGTGGAAAATAGTTTTGCAAAATGGACGGTCACAATGTATCCAAAAGGAGTAGAAGAGGAAGATAATCGTTACATTTCCTTGTATCTCTGCTTAGATTCCAGCAGCAACGAAACAAAACTAAAAGCCGAATTCGAATTTCGTCTGATAAATGCCGACAAAAAAACTGAGAGAGCAATGAAATTTCACCGGCCTAAAACCTTTGCCATGGGACAAAGAAGGGGCTTCATGAGGTTCTACACGCGCTTCGAATTATACAATAGCTCCCCCGAGCTCCTACCAAACGACGTACTTACCATAGCAGGTCAGATTATAATTCACTTGGAACCTGAGTCCAACATTTTAAATCCAGCCAAGCCATTAGTTGACTCGAAGATGGTCCAGTATTTTACTTACTTATTCGAAATCCAGAAATTTACCGATATTACCTTTCTCATTGGAGACAGAGAGCTTAAAGCTCATAGACCCATTTTGGCTTTCCAAAGCAAAGTGTTTGGAGCCATGTTCGAATCCGACATGCTGGAAAAAAATACCAACTTGGTGCTCATAAATGATATTGAATATGATGTTTTCAAGGCTATGCTAAATTTTTTATACACAAATGAAGCTCCAAATTCAGACATGGTTAAAGAGCTTTTGATGCCTGCGGACAAATACGATCTGATTCGCTTAAAATACAAATGTCAAGTAGATATTTACGAAAATATGACCATAGAAGACTCGGCAGAAGTGTTATTTTTAGCAGATTTGCACAACTGTCATATTTTAAAGGACCGCGTATTAGATTTTATTGCTATTAATGCCTATACCGTGGTAACTACAGAAGGATGGAGAAGCCTGGAAACAGCTCAACCACGTCTTTTTGCCGAGGCCTATGAAGAGATAAGCACCAGGATTGTTGTATGAAAATGTTCTTGAAATTACCGTAATTTATGTCTTTATTGTTTATTTTAAAATATATTTGTAATTAATCAAGGGTAATTTTCTATATCATTGTCGAATAGTTTTGTAATTTTATTGTTATAAATTAAATAAGAGTGCCATATAATTTTCGAAATAATTATTGTTTTCCTTTTTATAATCTTGAACTATCACAGAATAGTAGGTACCTACTTTGATAAAAAAATTAAATATTAAATACGTATAGGTACATAATATACAGGGTGTTTGGTGGAGGGTTAGCCAAACTTATTGGGCTTATAGATAGGCCCATTTCGAAAATATTTTATGAATACACCTGTGCCCTTAAGGTCCCCGTTTTTTTTTATATCATTGCTTTTGTATTATTCTCAAGAATTTTCAAAAATGAACCTTTTAACTTCTGTAACTTTTTTTTCAATGTTTATAAAAATGTTCGTTTGTGGTGTATTTTTAGTCTGTAGGGTATCCTTTGATCTAATAAAGTAATAAAGCTTACAACTCATTATTTCGGTAGTATTTGTGCCTAATTATTACTTTATTAGACAGACCAAGAACACACACGATATAAAAAACGAGGAACTTAGGGGCACAAGTGTATTGATAAAATATCTTCGAAATGGGCATATCTATACGCCCACCAAGTTCAGCTAACCCTCCGCCAAACACCCTGTATACAAGGTTTTTCACGAACATCGAAACAGGGGCGTTTTAGGGTAGGTTTCTCAATAGCGAGTCACCTCCATGTTGGTTTTAACTCCAGGGTAAACGTGCCCAGTTGCAATGTTCACCCTGGAGTTAGGCTTAACCCAGGGGTGACTTGCTATTGAGAAACGCCCTTAGGGTATTTCATTAAGGTCGTTTAAAAAAAAAAATCTTGGACGTCATTTTTGTATTCAAAGGGGAAACTTTTTGAACCCATCGGTATTTCGCAAGGAGGGAATTCCTGGGTGGTGGGGTGACTTTCACCCCTCTTTTTCAGATAGGGAAGATGGGTCGAGTGGTAGCTTGTTTTAAAGGTATTTTGATTCTCATCACAAGTGCGGAAAATCGAATGATCATATCTCAAGATATTCACTATCAAAGTTGCAATGGTCTAAATAAGAAACAATCTTTTGGCACTGTTATTCTCAAATTTAACACTTTCTGATGTTCCTCTTGAACACATCAATTTTCATTTTTTGCGTATTTCTGGACAAATTAAAATTGACGTATCCGAGAAGAAAGTCAGGAAAATGTTAATTTGAGAATAGCAGGGCCAGAAAATTGTTTCTTATTTTGCCCATGGCAATTTTGCTACCAGAATCAACATACCTCTAATACAAGGTACCACTCGACCCATCTTCCCAATCCGAAAAAAAAGGGGTAAAAGCACCCCCCGTTGCACCCTGGTGAAATACCGATGGGGTCAAAAAGTTTCCCCCTAATAATTGACCCATTTTTATTTTGTTAGATTAGTTCTGGTTAACAAGTGAATTTAATTTTCATGTGTCCGGTAGAGGTACTCTACCACCAGTTATCCAATAAAACAAAAACAAAAAAAAAAAAACAAACAATGTTTCATAATTAATTTTGATGATTTCTGAATTCAATAAATATTAGCAAATTTAATTTAAAATAATCTCGAAAAATATGTGCACATCACTCATCTTTATACAGGGTGTTCATTTTAAAACTTAAGACCCCTATTATCTCGAATTAGAAAAATTTTCGAAAAAATCCCTGAAGTTCAACTGTTTTGGAAATATTGACAGTTGAAAATTGACTTTTTTGCAATGACAGGCTGTGAAACCTAAACGGTTAATTTTAGTAGAGAAAAGCCGATCTTACATTCTTGTTTTAGATTTTCATAAAGTATCATTTGACACCAACTGAATTTAATCCACGATTGAAAATTCCAATTAAATTTAATCTCCGGTTAAATTCAAAGTTGTAACTAACGGTTACAAAATAACCGTTACTACCCAGAACACGAAAGTAACAAGTCCTGTTTCAGAAAAAGACTCGTTCCAACCACCTTTCCGGCCAATTGCCTCCCGACGGCCGTGGCGGCGATTTTCCAAAATGGCCGCCAGTGGACACCCCGAAAGACAAAGGGAGTTAGATAAACTTTGCTGCTGAAGGTTTTAGTTAATGTTTATTGATTGTTTTGAATGAAAACATACCAGATAGTTTGTAAGTTATGCAGGATGGGGCACAAAAAACTTCTCAATTAGGTTTTTTCAGGTGTTAGGTAATCAAAAATCGGTCGGACACGTCAACTTTTACTTTTTTGGGGACACATTTTATTGCTATATTTTCACCCTCTACCTGTCAACCGTCAACCCCTAAACGGGGGTGACAGGTACCCGCAAAATTTCAAATGGAAAGGGGTTTCCAGTGAATTAAACAATGTACTATTTCCTAACTTTGACAAGCCGCCGTTTTGGCAGGGTAAAAAGTAGCAACTTAAAATTTTGAGGACATAATCTTAATGAAAGTAACTATCAAATGACTTATCACTCGACCCTCTTTCTATTTGAAATTTTGGGGGTACCTGTCACCTCCGCTTACGGGTTGACAGGTAGGGGGTGAAAATACCAATAAAATGGTGGAGCGATTTTCGATTAATCACCTGAGAAACCTGGGTGGGGAGTTTTTCGTGCCCCACCCTGTATAATATATGTATTTATTTAATTTATTCATAAACATTATTATTTTTTTTCTAGATAGTGGGTTGTAAAATGAAAACCTTTATCACTTCATCAGTAAATGTTGCAAAACTAGAAGGAAACAATTTTACCTACTCATTTTACAAACCATATAGTGCAGTTAATTAAGCATAAAATAGGGTTCCACCTATCAATTTTGAGGTAAGAAGCTGAAAACTAGCATACACCTTCATTTTGACGTTCTAATAGTTGTCCCAAAAGTCACAATAAATGTAGCCAAGGCTTCTCTAGTTATTGCAGGTCACAGAAATCGTTTTTTTTTTGCGATTATCTCGGTTCCTATAGCTTCAACGATATTAACACCTATCACAAAAGTAGGAGGTTTGTTTCAAAACTTTTTTTTATAAAATGAACCGTTCTTGAGATAGAGCGCGAAGAGTGGTAAGCCCTATACTCCAGATTTTGACCTATAAATTAAAGGGACCTAACGGTGAATTTTTGCGTACACGTTGTTGTTATGGGTCTCAATAATTGGTGAAAGTTTCCCATCGTTTCGGTGACTATTTGGGCCGTTAACAGAGGGTCAAAGTCAGGAATGCGTTTATCAATATCTCGGAAACGGACAACTTTTCTAAAATTTCTTCTTAAAGAAGTTATAGATCATTAAATTTGCTCCAAATTTGGCGATAGTTACATTGCTCTACAATTAGCTGTTCTTGAGATACAGCGCAAAATTTAAATAAAAATGAGGGGCCATTCGCGAAATGAGAGATAACCAAGCTGTAAACTCGTACACACCTTCATTTGGCCATTCTTAAAATTGGCCCAAAAGTCTAATAAAATCACGTATGCGTGTCGTAAGTTATGTCAGGTCAAAAGTCACGAAAATCGGTTTTTCGCGATTATCTCGGTTTCTATAGGTACAATGACTTTAACATCTATCATAAAAATTGAAGATCATAAAATTTACGATAACTTCTGTTCTAAACATTTTTTCATGCGCTCAACCGTTCTTGAGTTAGAGGGCGGTAACCGTACAGCGCTTAGCAATAAATACAGTTTTTAATACATCATTAACAATGAATAATTTGTATTATTTACTAGTAAAATACATTTGTATACATGAAATACGTATTTTATATTTTGGATTTTGATATTAATTCATTTATTTATTACTTATTAAACGAGGTGTGTACGAGTCTACAGCTTGTTTCCCCTCAGTTCGAAAATGGAAAAAGTTGACCTTTGACCCTCCGTAACGGCCCAAATAATCACCGAATCGAAACTTTCACCAATTATTTAGATCCATAACAGCAACGTGTATGCAAAAATTCACCGTTAGGTCCCTTTATTTTATTGGTCAAAATCTGGAGCATAGGGCGTACCACTCTTCGCGCTCTATCTCAAGAACGGTTCATTTTAGAAAAAAAAGTTTCAAACAAAAGTGCTTAGGAATTTTATTATCTTTAACTTTAGTAATAGGTGTTTATATCGGTAGAGCAATAGGAACCGAGATAATCGCAAAAAAAACGATTTCTATGATCTTTGACCAGCAATAACTAAAGAAGCCTTGGCCACTTTTATTGTGACTTTTGGGAGAACTATTAGAACGTCAAAATGAAGGCGTATACCAATTTTCAGCTTCTCACGTCAAAATTGGTAGGTGAAACCACAACGTGACTGGACTAATACTATTTCCCAAAGAAAAAAAATCAGAATCTGGTTCAAGAACTTCATAAACAAGTACCTACCTAGAAAGTAGTCAAAACCTTTCACTTTAAAAATGCCTTTATTTTTATTGAATTTTGAATAACCCTGGAAAAGTGTTCTTTCCATTTACAATATAAAAAATTCACATTTTATTTGTGTACCTATATTGTAAACAGAAATGAACAGGTAAAATTTAAGAAAAATAAACGGTGTTTGTAAAAGTGGTTTTATTTCATTTTGACTAGCTTCATTTATATACAGGGTGTGTCACGAACATCGAAATAGAGGCGTTCTAAGGTACTTTAGGGTCAATTTTTCAAACACGCTTGGACACGTCAATTTTGTATTCAAGGGGGAAACTTTTTGACCCCATGGGTGGGGTGACTTTCACCTTCTCACTTTTTTAGATAGGGAAGATGGGTCGAGTGGTACCTTGTTTTTGTTTTAAAGGTATTTTGATTCACGTCATAAGTGTGTTTTTTTCAATCGGATAATTATTTCTCAAGATATTCACTGTCAGAGTTGCCATGGGTCGAATGAGAAACAATTTCCTAAACTGTTGTTTGAACTACAATTTAGCTCAGCTAAGAATTTCAAAGTTAGCTAAGGCAGTGTGCAGAAAAAAAGCAGCTAATATATCATTTACTAGACATAACCGAATTGAGTGTTTTAATTTAATCACTGATGCGTTTTCTCGAGTTTGACAAGTCTTAATTTACTACATAAAATCGAACGTTTATTCTATTCTCCTGAAATAGAAAAATAAAACAACTCTTCGAAAAAAAACCTACTTTATTGAGATTGTAGGTATATTTACAACTGATCTCTTTTTGTAATTTTACAGCCAGAGAGGCGGCGGCCCCACTTAATAGCGCTTCATTTGTGTGACGTCATAAATTCACTGCCTGTATCTAAACAAACTTTGAATCCGTCTCAATTTATATTTATTTCTAACACTGTAACATTGTTTACACAAAAATACCTTTTTTTTTAAATGCCAAAAAACTAATTTGACGAGAAAATGAAAGTAAATTTTGCTGTTATTAAATTTAAAGTATAGGATGGTGTACTGCCCAACATTCAAGCAGTACTTCTTCCAGAGAAGACTTATATACTGTGGACTGGTATTTGGCAAATTTTCCTCCAGGAAAGTTCGGAAAATCCCAGTCCACAGTATATTATTCAAGTATTCAGGATTTTTATGTAAGTGGTGTCAATAAAAAAAAGTGAGATTATAGAATCGATTTTTATTCCCTAATCAAATCAGCCTAAGTTTGTTTAGATACAACCATAACCTATCTCAGCGTGAAGTCAGAGCTAATGGGCCCAAATTAAACTAAAACTATTTAAATTTGTCAATTAAGTTAGGCTTTCGCCTTTATTGAAATAGTTGTTGTTTTTTGGGGATATTTGGGTTAGTGTAGATTCAGAAGTTCACCAGCCACTAGGAACAGATCTCTTGAATATGCTGAGCACTCCAATCAGCAAAATGACGAGAAGAAAATCCCAAAAAAAAAATGACGGCCAACCCGCCCAAAAAACAATAACCATTTTAAACTAAATTTAATTTGATCCGGATGTGATGTGGTTCCCCCGCTAAATTTAATCAAAAAAGTGGCAGCAAGATATAATATGCGCCACAATCAATCCAACAGCTTTTTAAAAATGGTTTTATCAACTTACAATTATTATCATCTTGGGGCGCCTCTCCCAATATCATCTAGTACTTATAAATATAGAAATGTTGAGGAATTAAAATTACATGACAAAAAAAAAATTAAACAAATTAAAAAAAAAAAAACACAGTTGATGAGTGAAGACATGACATCGCTTATAATACCTACATACTACTTGTTTGGAGACATACGATACAAACAAAATAGTAAAGTACCTATAGAAAAAAACTTATCATATAGATGGAACATAACATGAACTCTTATTTTTTGGCCTTGACATTGTTTTTGACAGGCGATTTACCCTTTACACTGTTTGTTTTCGCTTTTTTGGGTTTGGGCTCTTCTTCATCCTCTTCTTCTTCCTGCAATAAATCAAAGTAAATATGAGGCAATGATATTAACTTATTCGATACAATATTTAGATGTCTTCTCAAGAATATGTTCTTTGTACAGGGTGTAAGCCAAAAAAACAACTACCTAAGTATATATTTTATTAAACTATTCTTCTCTACCCAGACCACACTTCACTATGACAAGCCCGGATATCAAATAACTACCTGACCACAAGAAAGCAATATGACAGTTTTTTTACCTGTCAAATTTCGCATATGTTTAAGAAAAAAAAAATAGGTTATCTCTCAAAATTTCGAAAAATGGTAAAATAACAACCTTTGATTTGTTCATGGTTTTAGGGAATAACAATTTTTTATCTGGTAAATGTAATGAATCGTGATTTAAACCATTTAAATATAATACACTGATTGACTAGTAGGTATTTTTATGCAGAAAAAAATTTAAACAAATAATTCAGAAAAATCCCAAATATGTTAATAAAATTGTGTATTTGATGCAAAGTTCTTCTAGTTCCAACATTTCAAAGTAAAATTCACTGTATACATTTTAAATGCAGTATAGAAGGGCATATTAGTACACAAACATGTCATAAACCAAATTGCTCAAATCCATTTCCCAGTTTACACTTAGAGAAGTCAGTTCTTGGTAAATCAATATAATTATAATGGGGTAATTAAGGTTTTTGCAAATTTGTACAAATTTGGTAGGTGAGTAGAGAACTGACATTTTTGAGAAATAACCTAATTTTCTGTATTTTTTCAAATAGTACATATATCCAATTTGATAGAAATAATTGTCAATATCATTTCACACTATTTTCAAAACAAAAACTGTCCGGAAACTAAAAAACAAAAAAAAAAGGCAATATTAATTAAAATACTGAAACGCAAGTAATACATTTCCCAAAATTAAAAAAGCTGACATTTTAATAATCAATCTAGAAGCAAACTTCTCTGAAAGATTATTTTCCACAGCAAGACCCAGAAAAAACACAGGGTAAATTCGATTTTATAATGCAAATTTAGCATAATCTTCTTTAGGGTTAGTTTCTTTTATTGGGTTACACCAGGCTAATTTCCTTATCGTAATAAAGAACAGTTCAATGAGAACGCACTGAATAAGTTGGTAAGCTACACTACATGCACAAATTAAATTATATAAAGAGTGCTAAGAAAAAGAAATTAAAATAATAAAAGTTACTTGCCACTTTTGCCAGCTATGAAATTGGTTACACCACGCTAATTTCCTCATCATAATAATTATATATAAAGCACAGTTCAAGGAGAATACATAAGTACCTAAGCTACGATACATGCACAACTTAAACGATATGAAGAGTGCTAAAAAAAAATTAAAATAATAAAAGTTACTTGCCACTCTTGCCAGTTTTTTAGCTATGAAATTCCCAAGCTTCCTTCCCAGTTTATGTTCTAGGGAGCTGCCTAGAAACTGTGACTCAAGTCAGAGCAACGTAACTGCATTATATTATTGGATGATTTCTATTAACTAACTCTGTTATTAAAAAGATTGAAAAAAGACAAGATAATACTATAATAATTATTTTCTAAAGTGGGCTTAGTGGATCAAAACAAAAAATTCCAGGCTAAATTCACTTGAGCCCATTCTACAAGCTGCAATACTACTTGCCAAACAGTGGCATTTGGGATTAAAATGCACATAGATAAAAAAAAAAAAGATATTAATTTTTTTTGACACATTTGGATTATCATAATATGTAAGTTTCTCAAAGAAAAATCGAGCGGGTAACCACCAGCAGAAAAAATGTGACAAGATTGCAGAATTTAGGGATTGTGGGTAAATTTTCAAGGATTGAGGGGGATTTTCAAAGATGAAAAAAAACGCCCTTTTAAGACAAACTTTGATCATTTTAAGATTTTTTAGCAATTTTGGACATTCTCCTTTGATGTTTGAAGAGGAAAATTCAAGAAGACGCATACAAAAGGATCTGAATGAGAATAAGTAGTTTTAATTAAGGTTGTTTTCCCGTTAAACACAAAGTATTCTTTGGAAGCAGTTTTAGGAAAAATCGGGGGAAACATTAATTCCATTTTGTGGTTTAATAAATGCAATTTTGGACATGTCTTTCAAGAGGAAAAGCCAAAATGGAGCACTTTTAGGACAAATTTAGACCATATTGTGGTCTTTATTGAAATTTTGAACCAAAAATACACCTACAAAAAGATCTGTATGACTATTAGCTCTAATTTTTGGTATTTTTTCATTAGACGCGTACTTTAACACGTTAATCGCCCAAATGGAACCTAAAAAAAAGTTTTGACAGGCCCAGATTAAATTATTTCTTCAATTGATGAATAATACACAATAATCGCATATATTTGTATTTTTTTTCATATGTTACCTAAAAACAACCGAAAATATTACTTTGAAAATGAAACCCGGCTTTTGGGTTTCGGGGCCCCTTCTAGGTGTGAGCCCCGAAACCCAACTAGCGGTGTTCAAAGATACAAGCCTAAGCTTGTTTACTACGTGCATGAATATTAGATAGTAGAAAATGTGTGTCCTGCTACGAAAAATTAAGTGCTGAACAAGGCAGAAAAGTAGCTCAAAGCAAAGGACCAGAGTCAAGATTTTCTTACATACAGTGTACATTTTTCTATTGTCTGTCCTGTTTTTTGACTGTGACAAATATATAGAGTAAACATTTAGTTTATACGTTATTTTGGTTTATCATAGATAAATAATTTTGTTCTGGTAATCCATGCCTTTACCTACAATCAATAAAATGTGGTTCTATAGAAAAATATGACAAAAAATCCTAGGCTCAAACGTTAGTAGGGTCCCCCAGGCCCCTCTGAGAAAAACTCCATATATTGCAATGTTATTTGAAGCCCAAGAGCCGGGTCACAGGCTTTAAAGTGTACGTGCATGGTGACACCCTACGTATTGACCACTAGCTCTGAAATTAACGTGTTAAGTCTACTTTGCATGGGTTTTGAATAGAAAAAATGAACAACCTCTTATCTCTGTTAAAATGCAATTCTACATAGAATTTGAAACCTAATATATCTAAATATTTAGGTGCTTAAAAATACACAATATTATGTATCGGGTCTTCAAAAAAAAAAACAATCAAAGATTGCTATGGGTTTTTTAACGTACTTATGTCTTAGCAATATTTTTCTTTAATTTTGTCAATGAACTTCTATGTCAAAATGTCATGTCAAAAATCCTGACCAATAAAGAAACAGTAATGCGAGGTACGTTTTTGTAATCAAAGCAATCTTTGATTGTTTTTTTTTTTTTTGAAGACCTGATATCTATTTTGAGACCAAATTCGAACAGATATAAATAGATCCTTGAAACAAAGACAAAACTCGGTTTGGTGTTGCTAATTATTTTTACTGAATTAAAATAATTGGCAACCGAACAGAGAAGCTGGCTGTAGCCATCTTTGTTCCGTGCATTGAGATTCCCCCTGCCCTCTCTTACACCTAGGAAGTATCGTATCACTAAATTTGATTTCAGTTAATTGAAAACTTAATTAATTTTCATTAATGAATCCACAAAAACATTAATCAATGTTATCTAAAACAATCAATTGTGTATTTTGCGCCACAATCTCATAAATTTTATAGGGATTGCATGGTGACTTTGTGACAAGATTGCAAAGAGTAATTACCCCCTCAGGAAAAAAACCTATAGACAATAATATTCCATTAGAAAATCAATATTTTTATCAAATTACAATAAAAATTATAAAAATAGCTTTGCTCTTCTTATAACAGTCGAATACAAGAGTATTGCAGAATGTAGAAAAAACATGATGCCTTCTCATGCTAAGTGAATGGTTAAAAAAAAAACTATGACAAACTGTAGCATGCTCTAGTGCTGATTAAAAATAAAATGATGAGGAAAATAGACATGACCTTTTTTTGAATCAAATTTTTAGACTTTCACTTACCGCTCCTTCTTCACCCTCGTCATCGTCCATTATCTCCTCCTCCATTTCGTCCAGTTCATCAAACTCCTCGATGGGTCCACCAATTAAATGGTGTCCCATAATATGAACAGGGCCACTTCCTGTAAAAGTAACCAAAAATTAATTAGAATAGAGGGGTTTATTCTTAATATTTAATGATTCCTATATACACTTTATTTGTTGTAGAAACAATGAAGAATGTATATGTAAAAGGGTAAAAAATTAACAATAAAGACATACTCTAGTGGAAAGAAGAAATAATGCCAATTAGATATTAAAAAAAACACATACTTATACCAGCACCCAAATTGCCCTGTACAGGGTGTCCAAGATTCGATGGTTTTGGGGGGTTTCAGGTATTTCCAAAGGAGTTGGAAAAGATCTGACCCCCACTTGCGAGCCTCAACTTTCAAGAGAAATTGACACATCTCGATATGTCGAGTCGTTTTTATGTTACAAGGAGTTTTTGAAAAGTTTGGAGTTTGGCAGGGGGGCTATAACTTTTTTATTCGTGAAGATTTGGTCAACTTTTCCCCTTGTAGCCTAAAAAAGAATCGAGATGCGGGTTTCACCAGTCAACTTCTCTTGAAAATCGAGGCTCACAAGTGGGGGTTAGATGTTTTCCAATTCCTCTAGAAATACCCGAAATCCGCTAAAACCATCGAATCTTGGACACCCTGTACAATACCAAAACAGTAGGACATCTATTCCTCAAAACTAAAGATTTAACAAGGAATCGATTAGAAAGTAGTCAGCTATAATGGCCAAACGAAACAATATTTGAAAAATAGGGTCTCTGATCTTGAAGGTAAAGGCAGTACAACCTTGAAACTTGATTAGTGAAAAATAATTCTGAAGAGGGACAGAATTTTAATTTATTTATTTATTTATTAACGGCAAGGCCAATTTACAAAAACAATCGTAAAACAATTTACAATAAATAGTTTGACAATAACTAAATCTAAGCACTAACAATCACATCCTGTTCTTCCCCAAGTTAATACCTAACCAAAAAACATACGACTCATTTTTAAAAAACTAACCAGCAAGCAGCGGTTGCAATCTCCTCTTAAAGGCAGCAACAGAAGGACAACCAAAGATGTCAATACTCCGGCTCCTGGAGTTGGCAAACCTGAGCACCCTTGAGATCGACTCATTCATACCATAATTAGTATTATGGAATGGTACATAAAACAGGTCAGAACCTCTCACCCTTCTTTCTCCTGCTCTCAAAGAAACGAGACCCAAAAGATCCGGGCAGTCAATTAACCCTCTCAAAAGTCTGTAAAGAAAGGAAAGATCCGGCTGAAGTCTCCTGCTTTTCAAGGTATGAACATTCAAGATAGCCCTCATCTCATCATAAGTATACTCATCATGAGCCAAGCCCAACCTGTAAGCAGCCACCCTTAAAAATCTATTCTGAACCCTTTCCAGAGCTGCAATGTGAACAGCATATTGGGGTGACCAAACAACTGATGAGTATTCCAACAAGGATCGGACCATCGCACAGTACAATGTTCGCAATGTACTCACTGATATATCAGTAGTGGACCTACATATAAAGCCGAAACATCTAACAGCCCTTGATACAGTATTTGTAATATGGCCATTAAATGACATCTTGGAATCAAATTCCACGCCCAAATCTCGAATGCTCGCTACTTCCCCGATTGATGTGTTATTAATTGTGTAAGGGAAATTCACCGACTGGGCCAACCTGGAAAAAGTTATCCTATTTGGCGATATTGAGGTCCATTTCGTTCAAGCCACACCATTTGTCAAAAGAATTGATATCATATTGCAGCAGTTGTGAGTCTTCCAATGATGATACCTGACGATAAAGTTTAAGGTCATCTGCAAATGACAAAAATGAGCTGTGGGCAACAGAACTACCCACATCAGATATGAACAGATTGAACAAGACTGGTCCACAGTGAGACCCCTGAGGAACTCCAGAAGGAACATCAAAGACCCGAGACACAACACCGCCATACCTTACTGCCTGTGTTCTCCCAACAAGAAAGTCATCAAACCAACTCAGAATTGAACCTCTCAGCCCCAAACAACCAAGCTTCCTAATGAGCAGGCGATGGTTAACCCTGTCAAAGGCTTTAGAGAAGTCCGAGTATACAGAACGACTTGACGATAATGAAACCAAAATCTGGGCAACATGAAATAGGTATCTGAGAATAATATCAAAGTTATAATACGAAGTAACTAACAGAGACCTAATAATAAATGTTGAATCAAGCTGGATCAAACATCTCAAATGGAGAGTTCCTATAAAAAGACAACTTGGATGGGAAGTAATGAAACTGGGAAAAAATTACAAATAAATATTGAAAAACCTAGCTACGGAAAAACAATAAAAAAAGACCAAAGCATGCTATAAAATAATTTATGTTTTGGTCAACCTCTACTTTAATAAGTTTGCAAACAATAAACACAAATTACAAATTAACATTTTGTCATAAAGTCTGGCTAAAGCAAGGCTATAACATAAAAATTGAATAAAATATGCAAAACATGAACAGGACTATCTGTTTTTTCTTCAGTGTTTTTCAATTCAACTCAATGAGTTTAGCAAAGATGGAAAGAACAATTCAGTTGTTATTATTGTTATTTTTGTTGTTCAAAAAATTATAAGTTAAAAAGACAAACATTTTTGTTTGGGTGCACAATTAAAAAAAAAATTCAATTTTTGAGGTTAGGTTTTTTGAACCCCAAGATATTTTTTAAGTAGATATTTCAATGCTCAGTTGTAGAAACACAATCAATGTAAAAATTATAAATAAAGATGCTTACCTTTAACTAGTGTAAAAGTTATAGGAGGATCTGGGAAAGACAAATCTAGAGCTTGACTCTGGCATCCATTTGGACCCGCTTTCAATATAGCTATTGGAACTTTAACTGAGTCTTTCCATGTCATTGCTTCGACTTGCACAACATTAACTTCGCCTAAAGTAAATATTAAAATTGAAAAATAATTATAGAAAATAAAAATAAGAAAACAAATATAAAAAGATCCAAACAAATGGCTTGGCGTCACTTACCTTCCGGGACATCTTCTCCTAAAAGAATTTGTTTCACCATTAGCTTATGCCCCCCCTGGTAGTCCTCAGCACCGGCCCCTTTCGCTTCGGGGTCCCAAACTTCGTTGACATTTTTGCCTTTAAGCGTCAAAGCTGAAAATAGAAAATGATACGGTAAAATCCTAAAGAATATGGCGCCAAATACCGGCTTGGGCAATAGAAGCTCGACAAGCCGAAATCAGCCTGATAACATAAAAATATCACTTTGAAGGAATTAATTAAACCTTTCGAAACACACACGTACCGAAAAAGTATTCATCGGCCATGTTAATAATTGGATGAGGAAGGATTTTCTTCTCGATTAAAGTTGGATACCGGCCGGAGAACTCTGACTTGCGAATGGACGATTCGTAAAAGAAAGCCGAAACTCGAATTTGTTTGACAGATGATGACAATGGCGGGCCCGCTCAGCACCTGCGCAATGCGAGACCTGCGGACTGTGGACACACAATTAAAGGCGGGCTCTGTTGCACATGCCTAAATATTCTAAGAGCCACTTTACACTTCGCAATTTTTCTACCCGCAGCAAGTTTATAACGCTAGATGGTATCGAGTCTTCAAAAAAAAAAACCATCGAAGATTGCTTTGATTACGAAAACGTACGTCGCATTATTAGGTCTGTTTCTGCAGAAATCACAAACCAGTCAGAGTGAATTTCATTGGTTGAAACTAGTTTTCTGACTGTTTTCAACCAATGAAATTCGCTCTGATTGGTTTGTGATTTCTGAAGAAACAGAGCTATTGGGTCCCATGATTGAACGTTTACGTTGAAATTAGCATAAACCTGTTATGTTATGCTAACAGGGAATAGATAACATATAAAATAACAGTGGATGTTATATCGGTATGATTGACGAAATCGATAACAGAAAATGTTAAGCTGGCTGTTAGGAATGGAAGAAAGTATTTGTACCTAGCTTCACTTAGGTTTCAAAAACGACGTTTTTCTTGAAACAACAATAACAAATAATTAAATTAGATTTTTTTGCAGCTCATTTTACATTTTATTCAATTTATTGGGACGAAAAGATTATCTAAAATAACTGTGAAACAGTGTGGGGACATTTCCAAATCATATGAATGCCCTGGGTGTTTTCTCGCGTTCACTTTTTTGAAACTGGTTGAAAACAGGTTTGAAATAGAAGACTATTCTCGCGATAAACCCATGACGTCACACAGAATTGGTTCAAACTGTTCCGAAATACATTCCAATCCATGTTTTTGAACCATTTTCTCGCGCCGCGAAAAATTATGAGGTCATTGGGAAACTGTTTCAAACCAGTTTTGAAACTTCGAGACGCGAGAAAACACCTCTGATCAGTGGACATCATTTGTACACGAAAATAAAAGCACTACTAGAACTATTGCCTTATATAAAGTGAAAAACAGTTCCAACTACCTACTAAGAATTCAGAATAAACTTTTAGAATTTAGACCTTCAGTGCAACTGGAATGGATGAAATCCTTGATCTTTGAGGAATATTGAAATTGGGCCTTATTTTTGCAATTATAAATTGCACCGATTCTTTTGGAACTATTGGAAGTCTAGTATATTTAGTAATAAAACCTTATCAGGAGTTTCAATTGACCTCTGGTATGATCATTTTGCACGCTAGGCATCTCCTTGTCCTTGTTCATTGCCCGTGGTCTGACAAGAATAAACGTACAGTTCATATTCAACTTGACAAGTGTCATTCAAAAGTTGTTTGAAATTTTCATTGACAAATACGTTGCACAACACGCGGTCTTTCTCCTTCCCTTTTTATCCCGTGTAAATAAGAAGGACGGATTGCTATACGTAAGTCTAACATAATTTGGTACGTTTTACCTCGTCTTGAGCATTCTGTGTCTTTCTGTGTCTTTTTTCTTTTTATCTAATGAAGTTTTCGTATCATTACCTCCTTGTCTGGTAAAATAGATAGGTCTATTGATTAACATAAAATAGTGATGCATCTTATAACCTAGGTACCTCTTAGTTTGATTCTCTTCTTGTATTATGTAAATTAATTACCCCGTCATTCAAAATAGGATCGCCAAAAAAATAAAAAAACATTGGTAACATTAGGGAGATTTTGGACCAGTGAAAACTGTCTTTTAATAACGATTTTTGTGGTTATTCCGATTTTGAGCATGCGCACTACTCAAAAAGGAAAGAGGCGGAGCTTGTAACGATAACGAAGGTCCTTTATTTACGGCGAATAACTTTAGCGAATTTTTCCCTTATTTGACACTAGCGACACGCGATTTTCGACTTTATGCATTTGACAGCATAATGTTCTAACCTCAAATATTTTAGTTTGTTTAATGTGGACAATGGCCTATGTGGTTTATTTTTTTCTGGGCGAATTTTGTATTTTTGTTTTGATCAAATACAGGTTCGGGTTCCTCTTGAACTTGCGGTTGTTGTTGCCAATCAAAAACATTTCTCAAAATTATTTGTCGAACAAGATCTATGTTTTCTGGTAAGCCTCTTCTAATAACATTTTCTATATTTTCATTCATTTCAATTTAGCCAGGAAATCACTCAAAACAAAACAATTCTACAAAATACAAACGCAGAAAAGAAAAAACAGCGAAAAAGAAAGTCCCAAATATTTACTAAAAAGTTAGGTTAAACAACAAGATGATAAAATAACCACAAATATCGTTATTCATAAATCCACTCCAAAAACTCGTTTTTATTTATCTTCCGTTATCTTGAATGTAATTAAAGTTAACGAATATTTCTGTAATTTTTGATGTTATTTTCACTGGTCCAAAATCTCCCTATTAACGTTAAGCACTTAACGGCATGTTATTCGGGGCTGTTGAGGAGATATGTTAAATTAGAACATAACAGGCTGGAAATAACGGTAATCTGTTATGAAAAACTTTCCATCATACGAACTTGCATCGTTACTGTTAAAACTCGGCCTAACATGTACGTTACGGATAACGTAAACGTTCAATCATAGGACCCATGTTAAATTAGAACATAACAGGCGGAAAATAACAGTAATCTGTTATGAAAAACTTTCCATCATACGAACTTGCATCGTTACTGTTAAAACTTGGCCTAACATGTACGTTACGAATAACGTAAACGTTCAATCATAGGACCCATTGTCTACTGGCTTCACGCGGCAGTGATAAGGCCAATGATCACGTACGGCAGCCTATAGTTTGGTGCGACGCGCTTAGCAAATCCACCTACAGGGTAAAGCTGGACAACCTCCAACGGCTTGCCTGCTTGCCTGCATGGCTACAATTGGAACCTATAGAACTACTCCAACGCTGGCGATGGAAGCCATACTGGGAATAATGCTTCTAAATTTCTTTATGCAGGCATGAGCCCGGAAGGCTTCAGTCAGACTCAGCGATTGGGGACAATGGGTTCATAAATGGCTGAACATGGAACATACAAGGGCCTGGACTGACACTATCAGACAGGTCCCTCTTCTCACCAGGAAGAATGCAATGCCAAAAACTTCAGCCCCTCCGTAGACACTAAAGGAACGTCATTCCTGCAAAGGACGACGAACCCTCAAGGTTCGAGCCTAACCCAGGTTTCCACAAGCCGAAAGGGCTAATCTGGTTCACAAACGGGTCCCTGATGGGAGAGGGTGGAGGGGCTGGTGTATGTGTGGAGAGAGCTGTGGCGAGAATCAATCTTGCACTAGGTCAATACCCAGCGGTATACCAGATTGAGATCTACGCCATACAAGTCGTGTGCTCATGGTCCCTATTTTTGAAACAGGGGAGCAACGTTCCCAGGAGAATGAGTGTTCCCAATCGGTCTCCTGGGAATGCTGCTCCCCTGTTTCAAGAATAAGGACCCTCAAGAATAAGGACCCAGGAGAATCTCCAGATCGGTTACTCGGGCAAGCATATTTATATACGCAGCGACAGTCAGGTAGCACTCCGAGCCCTTTGCTCAGACAAGATCAAGTCAAGGCTAACGCTTGCCAGTATGACAACCCTACAACTACTCAGTGCCCTCAACAAGGTCACCCTTATTTGGATCCCGGATCACACGGGCATAAAAGGCAACGAGGAGGCGGACCAGCAGGGGCGTAAATCTAGCAACGCAGTCCTTATTGGACCAGAGACTGCACTTGGGGTTGATTCCTTTCTGGTGAAGACCAATATCAGGAACTGGTCCATCAATCAGTTGCAAGACGAATGGGTGATGGGTACTAGATATTTTGGACGCTTCTCTATGTCAAAGGGAGGCTTATTTACAGCGTCGATATTGGGTTTTGGCGCCATATTAGCAGCCATCTTGAATATCTCACTTCCGGTCATTTCGCTTGGGCAACCGGCATTTTTGGATTCAGTGGGAAAAAGCCTTATCCCAAAAGTAATATGAAATGCTTCTAAAATTTCGATTTTCGAAAAACTTGACTGGACTATGAGAGACACCAATGAAAACACTGCACATGAAGTACATAGGACTCATGTGCAACATAACATATTTGTGCTAGTGGCATGCGTGTGGAAGGTAGGTTGATAATGTTGATATCATTCCTCAACGCGGGAAACATGTAAGGTAATCTTGTTAACAAGAAGAATACAATCCACATTATTATGAAGAAGGTTGTACAAGAACTTAGCAGCAAGAACCTTCCTTCTATCTCCTATCTTATTGCCATGGGTGGCCAATCCTGTCGCCATGAAAGCAGATTATGGTCGAAACCCCTAGGGGGATACGTACAGTGGGAATCATTGCAATTGGCACATACTCTTTCAACGTCCCTCGTATTAAGTTAAAATGCTAACCAACACATCTATTCAGTGCAGTGGTGAACGTAATATTTTCATCATTTCAATCAACAATATATAAACAGTACAACATTACCCCGCAAAAGCGTAACATGTAACATACCAAATCAACATAGAAATCAAGAACCAAACTTAACACACAATTATGAATTAAACTTAACACTAAATTTTTAAGCATAAATATTTTCTTTATTAAAACTATTATGTACACCACTGATTTATCAATTTGACACGATTTTGAAATTACCTGTGTGACAAAGAAGTCAAAAGTCAAATTTTGACGCATTACGAGGGATGTTTATAAGGTGTGTGCCAATTGCAATGATTCTCATTGTACCTACCATCCAGCCTGTATGACAGATATTTGAGAAATCTTCTCTGAACGGATTCGACACTGGTTATGGCAGTTAGTTATACATAGGATTCCAGATTAAAGAAGCGTAATCTAACTTGGATCTAACAAAAGTGTAGTAGAGAAGTTTTAAAGTAGATTGATGTGTGAAATGTTTACTGTTTCGGTAATGAAACCCAGCTTTTGAAATAATGCGGTATAAATATGCTCGATCTGTGGAGTAAACGTAAGCTGACAATCAAAAATCACACCAAGATCACGAGTCTGCCCAAGCTTGGTCAAAGGAGCTTCGCCAATTGAATAATCGAAAATGACTGGATTCCCCAGTCTGCGAAAGCTCACAGTCACAGTGTTAATTTTGGCAATGTCGAGATAATATAATCTGTTGCAAGTGCACCAATCACCAAGAAGATCTATACTAGTTTGCAAAGTCATACAATCCTCAACAGAGACTATTGGTAGAAAAAAATTTAGATCATCAGCATAAGCCAGCTTTGTTACATGTATATAATTGCACCAATAAGGTCGTCAATGAATATGTTAAATAGTAGAGGACCCAAGTTGGATCATTGAGGTACACCATAGAGACAAATATCGGCGATCTAAAGCCCTCATGCTCAACAAACTGAGACCTGCCACACAAATATGACCGAAACAGGTTAACGACGCCGCCAGATAATTCATACTGCTCCAGTTTGTATAACAACAAGTGATGATCGATTCAGTCAAAAGCCTTCTGGAGATCTGCGTAGACCAAGAGTTCCTGGGAAACTCACTTTTAAACCTAATGTAACTCTTCCTGGCATATTTGTAAAGTATGTGTCGTATGTAGTATGTGGGATATTTACTGCGTCACTTTATTTTGAGTGGCACGCACAAATCAAATATGTTGTTAAGAATACCATACGGCATCGCACGCATCATTCACATTGTCACATTTGTGTAGTTGTGCACAATAGATCAATCAGCGTTTAAGATCAGCTCATACATCAGGTGAAAGCTTGCCTTTCTCAAATTATAATCCTTTGGCGAATTACTGTTTATTTGGAAGTCAGATACATGAACATATGATGTAAATCAGAGATGGGCATCTACGCGTAAACAAAGATTGTCTACGTCTGATGTAAACAACGCGTAGACAATGTAAACTATGTAGACACCGTGTAAAATATGTAGACAACGCGTAAAATATACAATTTTTGACAGTTGGCAGGCCTTTAAGGTTATGTTTCTGTTTTTGCTTTGTTTTGTTTTTTTGCTTTGTAAAGTTAATTAAACTGCAGATAATGTCTAATTTGATACAATATAAATTAAATGCAACGCAAACTTTGTCTACATAGTTTACATAGTCTACATGGAAAAAAGTGGATGTAAACAATACGTAGACAACGAGTAGACAAACCGCGTAAAGTAGATTTCATAGTCTACGGCACATCCCTGATGTAAATGTGAAATCGATACAATCAGTGCACATAAACGCTTTTACAAGTCAGCAATTGTAAAGTACCTACCTAAAGATTTCTTAATAAATCTTATTATAAAAAAACATTGTAGGTATTCCTTACAAATTAGAAAACAGATCGACAATGTAAAGTACCTACGTCGTTTTTAATCTGACTCTTTCCGTATGAGGAGCGAGAGGGTGCAGCATATATGGAAAAAACAGGTGTGACGTCAAGTGACCATTGGCGTTCTAACGTAAAGAGCCACCAGCTCACATTCCTTTGGAGTATCAATCAGATTAAAATCGGTAAAATCGACGGACAATAGACATTTGAAAAATAAAACTTAAAAGTTAGTTCCGAAATCTTCTCTAATAGGAATTTGCTCAAATTAATCTGCAATCACGTGGCAAAAAAACTAGTGTACCTGATGGTATATCATCGTCGTTATGCTAATGATCAAGCACAGTTACGTATACGTCACTGATGTGTGTAAATAGACCTTAACTGGCAGAGATTTTTGTTGCGCGCATGCGAAAAGTAATTGAAAGTGAAAATTCTCGGCAACTAAAGCCCGAATCCCACCTAGGTTTTCAGTCGCCGGTAAAAACCAACGACTTTTCACATTCACTACACTACTTCCTGCGACCTCGACTAAAACCCCTCAAGACATCAATATAGGGCCGCTTTGATTTTCTGGCATGCGCGAGAGATCCTCAATTAGTCCAAACCATTTGACAAATTGATCTGAAAACATGAAATTTGGCTGAGGTATCTTCCAGGTGATTCTAAGAGATTTGACCCGCAAAGCAAGCTTGGTTCCGAGGTCTACCATTGAGCGAAGCAAAAAGACCTTCTGTGCCGAATGGAATGCGACATTTTATTTCCAAGGGCCTGCAATGTTTTGTTTTATAAGTTAATACTGCTTTTTTTCATCCATTTTCGGAAAAATTAAAGCTTGTCGTTTCATCATTATCCAGTGTAAACGCGGCTAAAGTAGAAAACGCTGTGTTGCCACGTTGTTTCTTGATCCTAGAAATAATTCCTTGTAGCACCATATAGCGTCATTCGCCAGTTACACAATGGAAACAGCTTAGGACCAAAAACAGAAATCTGTAAACTTTGACCTACATTCGCCAGACTGTCAAGAATATTTTATTTTTTTTTCCGAAAGATTTTTTAAATAGTTGAGGAACTTACGCGAGGCATAAGGGCCCAAGGGGATAAGGGACACTTACTAACTAGGGGTCGGGTCAATAAATCATTTATTTATTGGAAAATGCCACGTGAAAAAAGCAAGGCACAAGGATATAGGAATAATAATACCTAAATCCTGCTTATTCAACATGCGATAGGTACCTAGTCTTTTAGTTGACTCGGCCAAAGAATGCTCGGCTCACCTCACCTTGAGTGTCAGGTGAGGAAGATCTTGTATATTGATCTGAGATGCCTTCTATTCATCAAGGTCCAATAAGCGGTACCTACCTAAACAGATCAATGATTGAGGTTTTATTAGATTTTAATTTCCTTCAGGAATTTTCTCGATCCGATAAAATTGCCTCTATTGTCGGGAATCACCTGCAATTGATGGTTTTCAACCAAACCATACATCTCTAACAACGCGTTTTTCTAAGGCCACTTGCCAATATTTTTTTCATTAAATGGTGGTCTATGAGAAAACGTGGGGTAATAAAGTAATTTTTCCTAAGCATTTTTCAAAAGCTTTACTACACACTTCGAACTCGTGCCAAGTTTGAAAACCCTTCATTTGATGGAAATATAAGCCCTCTGGATCACCAAATGACATTTCTGTAAATGGACTTTTCCTAAATTTAGCCATTCGCAGATGGCAAATTGGTAATTTTTTTTCAAATTCCCATCTCCGTTACTAATTGACCAATTTGTAATTTCAAAAAAAAGGATATTCTCGAAAAAGTCTATATTTATGTAAGACACTCCTCTTTATATAAATGCTACATGGTATAAATTTCAAGGAGATCGGTTCAGTGGTTTCCGATTCCATATAGGTAAACAAGGAACAAACATATTGATTTTTATATATTAGATTTACACAAACTATTCCCAAATATGTACTTATATATATATTTACATTTTTTATTACTACTGGCATTTCAACCAGATCTGTCCCTGTGAAAAAATCATATTCATCTCCACTTTGGGTAAGGGAGTTCTGTCTTTTTACCAAGTTTATGGATATAGATTGATAGTTTATTCATATAAACGTTTTGTACCGACTCTCTTTTTCCCTCGGATCTGTCAATCGCAGGTGTGGCTGCCCAATTTTCGAGAAGATGCGTCAAATCTTACCTACACAATTCCATCTTTTGCAAAGCTCTGTGTTACATTTGTATTTTTTTTATACTATGCACACAATATTAGGCAATTTTCAAATGAAACAATATAATATCAATTATTTATTTATTATTAAAAATACATATAACAAAACACAACAAAAACAATACTGTATAAAAATCTCTCATCTAGTTAATTGGTTATCTCCATAAATATACATGTAAAAAAGCATACAGCAGAAGAATAAATATAATTCAATATACTTCTAATATAAACTAAACAAAAATCAAGAAAACTTGGTTAAGTATTTCAAGCAAATTGCATATTGCAGCAAAAAAAAAAATAAATAAATAAAAAGAATTCAGGAACCAAGTATAATCAGTAATTCTGGAATTATTATTCGACTGTATGTTCCTTTCTTCAAATCTTCACAAATAATGGCAAATTATCTTAAAAATACATTCTTCATTTTCATTTGAAAAAAAATTGCTAATTCTAAAAATTAATACATTATTCTCAATAGAAAAAATGCACTTCTAAACGTAGGGGATGGGATAGAATATGGTATGTATTTATACATTTTCGCGATGAGAAAAATTATTACACGCAAATCAAACAAAAATGTGATTATTCCACAGATTCAAAAGACATTTTTGAAACCCAGATTTTTACCTAATTGTGCTACCTACCTATCGCAATAGAAACAAATAAATGTAGAAATAAGGCAAAAAAATTATTTTTTAAGAGTACGAGGATCTGAGGATCTAATATCTTCACACCTTATTCTATTTCATTGTATAACCTGACAGTATCGTTTATTGCAGAACATCAAAAATTTCAACCTAATCACAACATATCGTAAAATATTTTAGGTGTGGCACATTTATTTTGCAGCCGATTGTAAAATGCAAATGTATTATGAGAAAATTTAACCAATGCAATAATAATTCTAAGAAAAATTTCGTTTATAGGTTTTTCTCCATAAATAATAATTATTTATTACTTACCTATCCCATATATCGTCCATGGCATTATCACTAACAAATTTTTCTGGCAGTACTTTAAGCATTTTCATAGTTTGCAGGTAAAATATTAATTCCGTGGTAACTACGCCATGTTGTGGTCCACCATTGCTCTGAATGTGCATCTTCAGAATCTGTTCTCGTATTCGAGTTTTGAAGTTTTTGTGGATTTCTTGATAAATGTCGTTGACCTAACACAAAGACAAATTGAAAAAAACTGCATGTTTGTATATAATTATCAATGGATTTAATAAATATTGGTAGGCAGAGCATTGATTTATAAACCTGACTCGGTTAATGTGATAGAGTAATGGATAATTATTGCAACCCTTTTCATTTCAAAATACTTTCAGTTAGATAGAATATAACTTGAGGAGTTTTTGATTGTATTGGTCCTAGTATGAAGGGTAAGACGGAGTTTAATACATATTTTTTTGTTGGATGATGCTTTTTATCATCAAATAAAACGGAATGTCTTTAATAATATTATTGATAAAATTGGAACCCAGATTACGCTCCACAAAGCTCCAAAATATATGTACTTCAGCCTACCAAAATTTATATAATCTATTGCTGATCAACTATAACTAGAAAACGAAAAATGCTCCAAAGGCATTTACTTTAACATCCCATTATTCCCATTACATAAAAGATCAAAACTTCCTCACCTGTTCCTCTGGCAGAACAGAACTCACAGCCTCGTGCAACTTTGTTAAATGCCTGGAAATATTCCTCAACTGCTTACTGGGAACTGGAGGTTTAGCCTCCCACTCGTTCAACTGATCGCCTAATAGAGTATTCATTATCGACAAAACTTTCGATTCCAATTGGTGAATGTGATGCCCAATATCTTTCTCTACACTATCAAAACTATTGAAATTATTATCACCCAGTAAAGCTTGAAAATTGATTCTTATATGCGGAATCATCCACAAAACAAGTTGTAAAGATCTAGAGGCCAAAGCTAAATTGGTACTTGTTATTGTTTTAAGTCCTGCAGTTCTTAGCGCGCCAGCCCCTAACACAAGCTGGCACGATCGAGAATTAAACGTCCGTAATAGTTCGGCTAGATTTCGACCTATCACAGGAGCCAAAAGTTGTAAGTCATAAGCACACACGCAGTATTCACTAACTAAACGGATTAGGATTAGAACCGTCCCTACAGTAATGTAATCCTGAGTACCAATTTTGAGAGCTGGAGATGGTTTATTTACGTATTTGCTACTCCATTCTTCCTCCCCTTCCCTCGGTGTGGCAGGTAGGGATTTTATTATATCGCCTTGGGATAACTTGTCTACTAGCATTTGAATTTCAGTAGGGACTTCTGCGTATTTCCATCTGAAAAATCAAACAATATAACGTGCAAAGTTGCAGTAGTTTAAGTGAATTAAGAGTAAAGGGATGGTGTGATGCGAATAATATCTATACTGTTACATAAAATCAAAACTAATTGACTTGAATTGATAGTAAGTAACAACAATCTAAAACTATATAGAACATGGCAAAATCTTTGAGGAATAAATACAGCTAAGAATTACTTAGCATACAGACAGATTTGACATACCTCTCTGCATCTAACAACAACGCCAATTTGTTTTTTCTCTGAATATTGAATTTATGCACGTAATTTCCAGCTTGAATTTTGAAGGCAGCTTTCAAAGCAGCGCTCTGTTTTCCGCAAATGTCCTCACATAAATTCGTAAACTCTTCTACAATTTTTGCTAATTCCGCAACCTAAAATTATAATCCCAATAGATTTTTCTTTCAAAGGGAAAATTCTTACTTGATGGGCACTAATATTATTTTTATCACTTTGAGTACTAACTAAGGCAGCTAAGCGCTCATTACAGTAATCACAGACTGATGTAAGTAAAGATTTAAGTTTACTGGTAACTTGGGCATGATCTTCCTGTGATAAAAAATGTTCTGAGCCTGCTGCAGAAATGTTGGCATTCTCGATTAGGCCACCACTAACATCTGCAGTTTCTTTAATGACTTCATGCACTGCTTTTACTCTATACATTAATTTCCCTAAAAAAAGCTTGGTCAAATGAAAATTCGATAGCAAGGCAAAAACTAACCTAGTGCTTCACTGCCTAATTTTAATACTTTCAACCAATGAGCAGGATCCATGGTGGGAGCAACTTCGCCAGATCCTGTTAACTCATTAAGTTCGTCTTCAGCATCAGCAAGCTGCTCAATCATTAACTGCTTCAATAATGCCTGAGCGGCAGTGACAGCCTCTTGTCTATAAATTTCGAGAAATTGTAAATGGTTTTGCCTGAGTAAGCCTGCTACCAAACTGACTAAACGATCTTGTTCAAGTACTCCTAAAAACATTACTTTAGTTTAACCAAGAAAACTTTCATGGCAATAACAAACCTTCATCTGAGCTCAAAGGTCGGTGTAAGTCAGCTGCAGCATACCTTTCAAATTCAGTACTAAGCATTTTATCTATTAATTTGGACATTTCTTTAAGTTGAGATGGTAGATGACGTAAACTAGTAACACCAGCTAATTCTTTTGTTAATACTTCTTGGGTACCTAGATGTTTTCAAAATTATATACTCATGTTGTAAAAAAATACAATATTTTTCTACCTGATATTAATTCTAATGCGCCAACATAATCAGAAGAACTCAATAATAATTGTAAAGTGGGTTGTGTTTGTAATACCGTGGACATAAGTTTCAACTTTTCTGCTAAATGTATGTGATTTGTTTTTGACCTAGCAAAGGCCAACAGTCTTAAGGCTTCAGATGTGAGATTTGTATCGACTTTTTGGACTTTGGTTCTAAGTGTCCGTACCTAAAATAATTGTTTTTTTTACTTCTTAGAATAAAAATCCTCAAGTCAAATAATAAATTCTCTATTAGATTATTACCGACCTCATCGCTTGCTACACCCATTTGCTCCATAATCGTGTCATGTGAGGTCATTGCGTGAAAAAATGCTCCAGATTGTTGGGACACTTGCTTGGCTATCTGTTCCTCAACTATATCCAGGTAATGGCTGAGTTCATCTTGCAAATCGTTCTCCGATTTTGATTTGTCATCAAATAATTGGTTGAAAGTCTAAAAAAAACTAAAGTATTTGTTTGGATACGAAACTATATTAATGAGCTAAGGTTATTTATTTATTCCTTCAACGGGTATAACCCAATTTTACAATCATAAGATATCAAAAAACCAAAATTAATAGGACAGACTAAGGGGAGCTATTCCAATGTCAACGTTAAGTCATTCCTAATGGAAGTTTCACTGTATATCAAACGAGATATCAAAGTTCCTTCAATTAAGGTGGATCTCAAGCCACCTGAATGAACTGATTTAAGTCCACCTTAACATTAAGAGCACCTTAGGAAAGTCTTGATTTCAAGGTAACATTGAAATACTGATCAAGGCATAAAAATTTCTCAAAAAAAGTCCACACAAAGGAAACTAAAATTAGGTGTAGCTTAATTAACAGATGCTCTAAGACAATGAAGTGGGGTGCTGAATACATCGATTTCCAGATCGTTAGCATTCATGAGCATTCTATTTAGTGAAGAATAATTTGTTCGATGGCATTGTATGTTTGAATATATCAACAACCCTCACTACAATCTATATAATTATTAAGTAATTTATCTCATTATAATTATAAGCATATTTTATTTTATAATGTCAATTCTTTAGAAAATTTAAAAAAAACAGATAACAATTTCATAAAACTACATAGCATTCTGGATAGGATCAATTTATGTAGACAAGTACTCTCTTGAGTGACACATCATATAAAATTAGTGTATTATAATTATAGAACCATGATGAAGACTGTCGGACCAGGGGTACGCTTTTATTGCTGCCTAAGACCATATATTCTTTTAAATCCCCTACGCTCGGCCAGCCATACCGTCTATAGCCACCAGAATCAATTAACATCAAGTTGAAAGTGAACTGGCAAAGAAGCTGCTACCTTGTAGCTGGATGTTGAATCATCAAAGACTAAAGGAAGACAACCTTGATCACAAATTACCTGGCCCTCCTGGTAGGGGGTTGAGGCATCGGGCTAACTACCCGTTACTCGGAAAAAAAATTAGACTGTTAAAAGACCCAATCAACAGCCTCGGAACAGGACCGAAAAACGAAGACGAACTAGGCAACGGAAACGGACAATGAGTATCGGTACATGGAACGTACAAGGAATCTCTAGAAAATTGAATGAAGTGATATCAGAGATAAAATATCAAAAAATGGACCTGCTTGTCGCCACAGAGACCAAAAAGAAAGGACAAGGCTCAGAAAATCTCGGAGAGTACGATCATTTCTTCAGCGGGGTTCAAAAGGAACTCAGAGCGAAGAAAGGAGTCTCGATCTTCATACACAGAAAATGGAGAAAACATATAACATCATGGGAAGCAGTAAACGAAACCATAATAAAGCTAAATGTATGTATGTTCGGGAGAAAAATAACAATCTTGGGAATATATGGAGTGGACGACGACGAACCCGTTAATATAAAGGATCCATTTTATCAACAACTCAGTGACCAAATCATAAAAGTAGGAACTTCAAGGGAAATAATATTGCTGGGAGACTTTAACGGACGAACAGGAAGAAAAAACAACGACAAGGTGGTCGGAAAATTCGGAGAGAATGTAACGAATAACAATGGAGAAAGGCTCATAGAGATATGCCAACAAATTAACCTAAAAATCCTAAACAGTTACTTTCAGCACAAAGAAATACATAGGTACACATGGAAAAATGAAACTAGACAACAAAAATCTATTATTGACTACACTATCGCAAAACAGAGCTCGAACATAAAATTCCAGGATGTGAGAGCATATAGGGGAGCGAGCTGTGGTAGTGATCATTACCTCCTAAAAACAAAAATCTTTATCCCGGGCAAAAACACCGCAAAAGAAAACCGAATGAAAAACCAAGAAGACAATATTGTGTCAGAGAAATACAACCTAAAGTCTCTAGGAGAGCAAAGCGTAAAAGGGTTGTACATGTAGAGATTAGATCAAAAATTACAGAGTAGTATGAACTTCCAAAACCTTGAAATGCATTACCAACATATCAAATAGAGTATTCACAGTGCAGCATTTGAAGCCCTTGGCAAATATGGAAAAAACGGAAGTAGACCCACACCTTATTGGTAGGACCAAGAAATAGAGAAAGACATAGAAGATAAAAGGAAGAAATACCAACAGTATCTAACTTCAAATAAGACACGAGACAAAGAAATATATAAAGAAGCACAAGCAAGAGTACGGAATAAAATAGTGAACAAAAAGAACGAGTTATGGGAAAGAAACTGTACGCATATTAATACTTATCTGGGGGGTAAAAGAAACACAGAAAGTTGGAGATTACTCAAAAGCATGAGGAAAACACAAACTAAGGATATTATCAATACAATAACACCCCAGCAATGGGAAGAGTACTTTGAAGAATTATTGACAGAACAGCGGGCAGAGTTTAAACAAGAAAAGGAACAGACATGAAACATAAAAACTGCAGGATCACCAATACGAGTTATGCAAGAAGAAGTTAAAAAACACTGCGGCTTTTTGAAAAATGGTAGGGCGCCAGGCCGAGGAGAAATATATGGAGAACTGATAAAGTGTGGGACCAATAAACTCTACACACATTTAACAAAACTATTTCAAACATGCATAGATAAACATAAAGTACCGGAAGAGTGGAAAATTAGCTATTTAACAACGATATATAAGAAAGGAAACAGAAACAAATGCGAGAACCACCGAGGAATTGCAGTAACAAATACGCTGAGCAGAGTGTATGGAAAACTTATAAAAGCCAGAATAGAGAACGAGTACAAAGATAGTGAGGCAGAAGAACAGGCCGGTTTTAGAGCAGGAAGATCAACTGTTGACCATTTATTCAGTTTGACCCAGGTAATGGAAAAGAAACTAGCCTATAACCAAGAACTCCATTCACTTTTTGTCGATCTAATAAAGCATACGACAATGTTCCGCTGAAAAAGCTTTGGGAAGCACTGGAAAAGACCAATATCAACTTAGAACTAATAAAGGCAGTAAAAACGCTCTATAGTGATGCAAAGACCAATATTAAACAGGGAAACTTAATCAGTAAAGGCTTTATAGCAACTAAAGGACTTAAACAGGGATGCTGCATATCACCAACGCCTTTTAAAATATACTTAGAACAAGCGCTCAAAGGGTGGAAAAACAAATGTAGACACATGGGAATACCAGGTCTATAAACCTAGCAGTCCCAAGGTGGAAAAAAACTTCGGGAACTATATAATAATTAGGTGCTTTTTAGGTGCTAATTAGAGCCTCTAATTAAAAATTAGGTGCTCCTTTAGTTTTTGAGAAAATCGAAAAAAACTAAGGGACTGCTAGGTTTATAAAAGCTAGCAGTCCCCTATAGTAAAAAATATTTTTTCAAATGTTTTCTTTGTATCAGAAATAGGTGCTTTTTAGGTGCTCCTAAATAGTCCAAGAAAAAATAGAATTGATCAATTATTAACTGAGTTACAGATTTTTTTTTAATTATTAGGGGACTGCTGGCTTTACGTTTACATGTTGGTGTGTCAGATTGGAAAAAAACTTCGGGATCTATATAATAATTAGGTGCTTTTTGGGTGCTAATTAGGGCCTCTAATTAAAAATAAGGTGCTCCTCTAGTTATTGAGAAAATAAAAAAAAACTAAGGGATTGCTAGGTTTATGAAAGCTAGTAGTCCCTTATCGTAAAAAATATTTTTCCAAAATTTTCTTTTGTATCAGAATTAGGTGCTTTTTAGGTGCTGCTAAATAGTCGAAGAAAAAATAGAATTAATTAATCATTAACTGAGTTACAGATTTTTTTTAATTATTAGGGGACTGCTGGTTTTACGTTTACATGTTGGTGTGTCAGAATGGAAAAAAACTTGGGGATTTATATAATAATTAGGTGCTTTTTAGGTGCTAATTAGGGCCTATAATTAAAAGTTAGGTGCTCCTCTAGTTATTGAGAAAATAAAAAAAAAACTAAGGGATTGCTAGGTTTATGAAAGCTAGTAGTCCCCTATCATAAAAAATATTTTTCCAAAATTTTCTTTTGTATCAGAATTAGGTGCTTTTTAGGTGCTGCTAAATAGTCGAAGAAAAAATAGAATTGATTAATTATTAACTGAGTTAGATTTTTTTTTAATTATTAGGGGACTGCTGGCTTCACGTTTACATGTTGGTGTGTCAGAATGGAAAAAAACTTCGGGATCTATATAATAATTAGGTGCTTTTTAGGTGCTAATTAGGGCCTCTAATTAAAAATTGGGTGCTCCTCTAGTTTTTGAGAGAATAAAAAAAAACAGGTCTCAAAAATTAGTACGACGAAAATGGCACACATCAGAAAAACTAGAGTACTAAATTCGGGACTATTTAGTGCTAATTTAGTACGAAAAAAAATAGTTTATAACTCTACGTTTAAAAAAATTACGTGCATGTGTGTCAGCTTAAGATTAAGCTGGCACACTCTAGTTGGATAAGGTCGAATCATTGAAAATCTAGTACCTCATATTAAGTGCTAATTTGGTACATTCATGTCACGCCTAAAAAACTAACAATGATGTATTTATTACAGAATAACCACAAAAAAGTGCTAACTTAAGACTTGAATCAGCACACATAGATCGAATCGACCGCACGAGAACGGAATTCGCATGCACATATTTAGTGCTAATTTAGTACTTCAAAAATGACGACCTGAAACGAACTAGTATCACATCAGCACAGAGCTAACCCAAACTAACCCAAAATAATCCGAACTAACCCAAACTAACCCGAACTAACCCAAACTAACCCAAACTTATGTCCGAAATTAGCACTAAAAGTGTGCTAATTTAGTACTCTAGTTTCATCGCGTCATTGGCCGCGTTCACCAGATACAAACGTTGGTAAATGGTTTGCGATTGTTCTGCTGAACGCTACGTTGAATTTATGATGAAACCAAACATGTTTTGCAAACGCTCGCCATTTTTGTAAGCATGATTTGAGAGTGTTTATAATTTTCAACACTGTGTTTTGTGTGGTGACCTGTCATTCAGAGGGTGACGTTCTATCATTGAAAAGTTGAATCGTTCAGCAGAACCAAGAGTTTACCCAACATGTTCTGTTGGTATTTGTGAACTGTTCACGATCCGTTTTGGTTCTGGTGAACGTAGCCATTGGTGATAATGTTTGTTAACTTAAACACTAAGCCAGCACACAAGTGCCAGCCTGTGCTGATGTGATACTAATTCGTTTCGGGTGGTCGTTTCTGAAGTACTAAATTAGCACTAAATATGTGCATGCGAATTCCGTTCTCACGCGGTCGATTCTATCTATGTGTGCTGATTCAAGTCTTAAGTTAGCACTTTCTTGTGGTTATTTTGTAATAAATACATCATTGTTAGTTTTTTAGGCATGACATGAATGTACTAAATTAGCACTAAATATGAGGTACTAGATTTTCAAAGATTCGACCTTATCCAACTAGAGTGTGCCAGCTTAATCTTAAGCTGGCACACATGCACGTAATTTTTTTAAAAGTAGAGTTATAAATTATTTTTTTTCTTACTAAATTAGCACTAAATAGAACCGAATTAAGTACTCTAGTTTTTCTGATGTGTGCTATTTTCGTTGTGCTAATTTAAGGAACCAAAAAAAAACTAAGAGATTGTTAGGTTTATGATGAAAGCTAGTAGTCCCCTATAGTAAAAAATATTTTTCCAAAATATTCTTTTGTATCAGAATTAGGTGCTTTTTAGGTGCTCCTAAATAGTCGAAGAAAAAATAGAATTGATCAATTATTAACTGAGTTACAGATTTTTTTTTAATTATAAGGGGACTGCTGGCTTTACGTTTACTTGTTGGTGTGTCAGAATGGCAAAAAAACTTCGGGATCTATTTAATAATTAGGTGCTTTTTAGGTGCTAATTAGGGCCTCTAATTAAAAATTAGGTGCTCCTCTAGTTTTTTAGAAAATCGAAAAAAATTAAGGGACTGCTAGGTTTATGAAAGCTAGCAGTCCCCTAATAATTAAAAAAAAAATTGTAACTCAGTTAATAATTAATCAATTCTATTTTTTCTTGGACTATTTAGGAGCACCTAAAAAGCACCTAATTCTGATACAAAGAAAAAATGTAAAAAAATATTTTTTACTATAGGGGACTGCTAGCTTTTATAAATCTAGCAGTCCCTTAGTTTTTTTTGATTTTCTCAAAAACTAAAGGAGCACCTAATTTTTAATTAAAGGCCCTAATTAGCACCTAAAAAGCACCTAATTATTATATAGTTCCCGAAGTTTTTTTTCCACCTTGGGACTGCTAGGTTTATAGACCTGGGAATACTGCTCAATGAATACAATCTTTATACTTTAAGCTTTGCAGATGATCAAGTATTAATTGCACAGAACTATAATGACCTAGAGTACATGACACGAAAATTGATAGAGGAGTATGAGAAATGGGGTTTGGAAGTAAATCTAACGAAAACAGAATATATGCCTATAGGAGGTGAAAAATCTGAAATTAAATAACGGACAAGAAATAAAACAATGTACTGAATACAAATATTTGGGCATGAAAATCTCACATGAGGGAACCCTAGACGAAGCAATCAAAGATCGGAATATACAAGGACGCAAGGCAATATCCCTACTGAATGGTGTACTGTGGGATCAAAATATCAACAAAACTAAAAAAAATGAGAATACACAACACCATAGTCAAAAGCATAGTCACATATAGTTCAGAAGTCTGGCCACTAAAAATCAGAACCGCAAAAATGCTAGAAGGAACTGAAATGTACTTTTGGAGGAGATCGGCAGGCAGGTCAAAAATGGAAAGGATAACAAATCTGAGAATTAGGGAGATTATGAACGTGAAACACACAATAATAGATGATATAAAGGACAAACAGCTGATTTGGTTCGGACATGTACAAAGAATGGCAGATACAAGAATACCCAAGCAAATAATTGAGTGGAAGCCAGGGGGAAGAAGAAGACGTGGCAGACCAAGAAGAAGCTGGAGAAGCGGAGTAGACGAGGAAATGAAAGACAGAGGCTTAGAAGAGGATGCCTGGATTGACAGAGATGGTTGGAGATCGGGAATCGGAAGACGTAGAACGTTATAAACCGATAATTATATTATATATACCATGATGAAGCAATTTATAGATAAAATCCATGATTGGAAAAAATAATAAACAATAATAATTTTTTACCTAATTTTCACTAAATTTATTGACAACAGGCCCATGTTTTGTTATACTGTAGACTGTAGCTTCATGTGCAATAGTGACAAATAAGACAGAAATTCCCAAAACTATAGCTAAGTAGTCTTAATAAAAACTATGGACCAGGCCATGACCTCGGCCATGACCAGGTAATTTTTAAAGACATTCTTAAGATAAAAACAAGAACTTGCCCCAATTTTAGGGAATCTTGTGAAAAATTGTCTGCTCACTGGCGTTTTTCCGTAGGAGCCGAAAATAAGCATAAGTCCTCTCTTCAAGTCTGGTAGCAAAATGAATGCTGATCACTACTCACTAATAAGGTAATAGATTGGGGTAGGGTAGGACTGTAGATATTGTCAACATTGTAATTGGTGTATTTGCAGACCTAGGAAAAGCTTTTGATGTTGTTTCCATTGACATTTTATTAAGAAAGCTAAGGTATACAAGCAATCATGTATGGAACAATATAGAGCTATCCAGGTTGTAGAAGTCCAAATGGGTGAGTTTAAGAGCAAATTTATGTCAAACCAGTATAGAGAATAACAGGGATATGTACTGAGGCCACTTTTCTATTCTTTATATTATGTATTAAGTTTGAAGTGTTCAGGTATTGTATAGTTCGTTGCTATACATGCCACAGCATTGATTTATACTGGTTTCAATGTGGATGATCCAACAACACATGAACACAGACCTAGCTCTGTACAATCTTAAAACAAAAAAACAAAAAAAAACTTACTAAACCTTCAATACAAATAAACCATGTGGGTATAAATCAGGCTAAGTAGTACATAAACTACATAAGACTAATATTTGATAAAAAAATATCAACTGGTGTTAACATAATAATATATTAATTGTTAAAAATGTCAGTAAACACATTAGAATTCTCGTTAGAATAGGATAGTTAGTTGATGGGAAGTAGATTTGATTTATCCTAAGAAACCAATGCTTATCGTTAATTTTTGAAAAAAAAAAACTTACTTTTTTAGAAATAAGTACACAGTTTCTAAAAAGGAAATTTCTGGAAGTTGAAAACATGACTTAGGTAGGTACTTGTTAATTAAATAGTTTCACATTCCAGGAAAACATGGTTGTCTTGTTGTCTTATTATGAAATAATCGAGGAAATAATATTTAAAACTATAGAAAAATTTCCCAACAGTTTTTTCTCGGTGATTTAAGTTTAAACACTTATTTTTTTTAAATAATTAAGAAATAATTTAGGATCTTACCTTGGGGTCACTTAAATTAAAATCATTCGTCATATAAATACTCGGTATCAAATTAAGCTTATCTTGTGAGCTAGGAACTTCAGAATTGGTTTTTGGTTTCGTACTCTCATCTAGTTGCAGTTGATTCAATCTCTGGTGCCTTTTAGTCCTCTTCCCATATTTTCGAAGGTACTGATCGAAATGGGCATATGTAATTTCAGGTAGAAAACGACTTTTCTCGATTTCTGTCTTCTCCACGAAGGAATCTCCCCATGTTCTAGTGAAAAAGTTGGATTGTTTACCTTTATTGGGATCACTTAAAACTGCCGGTAAATACTGTGAGGCATTGTAAAGTGTCCATGGCTTTTCCTCGGCTTGGCCGGTATTCATTATAGTTTATCTTTGCCTGCTAACTCTGCCAATTTTCTTTGAAATTCCGTAATCTTGTGAACATTACGAAAAATTGCACAGTTTTAATATTTTTTATCATCAGCTGATATCATGGACACGTTTGGATGACAGTTTAAGCGCTTTCTGTACGATGATTTTAGATTAGGTGGGTTAGTGAATTACACTCGGAACTACATGGTGCAACACTTTTCGCACGAGCTATTTCGGTAAGCTCTTGTCCAGTGTGCACCTCGGATGAATTTTTGGATTCAAAGCGAACATCGGACCAAGGAAAGGTCGGGAAAAAAGTTTCAGGGATTTCAGGCTTTCTAGGGCGGGTATTATAAAACTATTTTGACAGATAACTTAAAAGTTAACTTCTGAAATTACTAGAACCGATAAGCGACCATTCTTAGGGTGGGTATTATAAAACTACTTTGAGAGTTAACTTGAAGTTAACTTCTGGAATTACATGTAATTCAAAAAGTTAACTTCAAGTTAATTGTCAAAGCAGTTTTATAATACCCGCCCTTAGCCAGTGATGTGCCTGTAGACAGTTGTATTCCTTTCAAGAGTTCGAAACACTCGAGCTACTCGCTCCGGTGTTCAGGAGCCCCCAATTTGCAGGGAACAGATGCGTGGTGCAACAAACACTTTTCGAAAGGAATAGGGGCGTGAAGCCCCGGAGCTGTTCTGGAGCTACTCCTAGGTGTGAAAGGAATACAACTATAGTCAACGTAAACAATTGATTGTCTACGTGTAGACAATTCGAATTGTTTACGTGGGTATTTGTCTACACATTGTCTACATGTGACGTAAACAATAAACTTATTTTAGAAATTTTAAAAAAAAGTTCCAAAATTACTACTACCGAAGTAGCTTATACCTATCACTTTGATATTAGCATTCACTGATTATAAATATGAGGAAAACCGATAATAAAATAAAAATAATTTTCGAAAAGGAAAGTGTGAGGTTAGAATTAAACGTCATTTATATTATTTTACATTGTTGACGCGTTGTCTACATTGTCTACATTGTCTACACGTAAAGTAGACAATGAAAGTCTACGTGTAGACGCACATCCCTGTTCTTAGCCGGTAATTACATTTCAAGTTAATGCGATTATGGTTAAATGTGGTTATATTTAATGACGTCACTAACAAGCCCTATGCAACGTCATCGTTTGACATTTCTATAACCGGTATTAATGGCTAGTTGCACCAAGATTCCATTAATCTAAGCTTAATAAAACTGGGATTCAAAAATAAACCTCGATCATTCGACCTGACGTTGCATGGCACACAACTAAGCTCGGTTTGATTAAACTAGTAATTTATAGGATTTTTTACGTTTAGGTTGGCAAACATGTTGAAAATTTGTCAAATGTGAAAGCAAAAATAGAAAATATAACCTAGAAAGCGAATTATTTTTTGTAAGTTTTTCCGAATCGAAGCAGTGTCTGAACCCTTTGTATTTTGTAGTTTTTTTCTGCTAATTCGCTTCATTTGAAAAAATAGATCCACTAATAGCACAAGTGAAACAGAGATGAGCCAATTTTACCAACAACGATAAAGCTCTCCTACTATACTAATTAATATTATGGCAAAATACAAGATCATTATTGAAAAAAAAAAAAAAAACTGATTCTATAGTTTTCTCTATTTTCGTAGCTAGCAAAGTTTCAAACATTCTACAGCTCTTGGACAAGAAGGCCCTGCACTGTTATACTTTATACTTCTGTATTATTTCCTTCCAAGTGTCTTGTTTTTCATTGCCGTATATTCTATTTTGCACAGATATTTCGATCGAGATTGATTATTGAATTTAAAAATCAAATAGGTATCTACCTACATAATAATAAATAATGAAATTCTCACAACATGAACATATGCCGTAAACAACGACAGACGGCATGTCATTTCACTTTGCGAATTTCCTTTCTACGCATTCAATTAGTAAAACTTCCCTTTAAACCATCAAACATGACCGTTTAAGTTGAACCAAGTTCAAATCAAATTAAACTTTGTTCAAGAAACGGTGCAATGGATTTCTTTGATTTAAACCAAGATTAATGTTAAACCAAGATCAGAAATTGTTGGTGCAACTACCCATAAGCCTAGTACTCATAACTGCGAAATTCGCACTTTTTTGACATTGCGTCGACAATTTGACGTTTTATGCGTGAATCAAACGTCAAATTGTCGAAGCAATGTCAAAAAAGAGCGAATTTTGCAGTTATGAGTACTAGCACTTTAATCCACCTCCAGAGCAGGGTTATTACTCCCTCTTCTATCAAATTAAAAAGAAAATACGCGGGAATCGTCAAATTGCCAAAATAGTCCCTGGGCTCAGCTAGGTGCCAGTCTGCCAGTCAACACGTGTTTCCTATGTTGTGTGGATCCAGTATCCTGGAAAATGTAATGTTGTTACTGTTTAGAAGGATCCGAGCATTCCCAGCAATATCAACTACCTATCACTCAATTTTGAGGGAAACGACATAACAGTGTCTGTGAATAATATAGAAACTGCAGCCTTGTCGCTTCATGGTATCTAATTTTAAATATTTTAAAACCGATCTTGTTCATTATTTTACACATCATCATTAGTTATAATCCTTTCACATCTAGGAGGAGCTCCGGAACAGCTCCGGGGCTTCACGCGCTTATTCCTTTCGAAAAGTGCTTGTTGCACTACGCATCTGTTCCCTGCAAATCAGGCGACTAAACACCGGAGCGAGTAGCTCGAGAGTTTCAAACTCTTGAAAGGAATACAACTATTGATCAGAATCAGACCAGAACCTTAAAGGTCGATTCACACATAGCAGTGACGTGACAGTGCCGTGAACGAAAAAAAAATTTGCTTCCCATATTTCTTCATATATTAATTAATTGTGAATTGCTCACATTTAAGATATGTTTGTCCGTAGTAGACATAATGGGTAGGTCAGATTTAAAGGCACTGGCGAAAATATTGAAAAATCAAAAATTAAAAACACAAAACAAGTCAAACACCTATATTTAACCTCAAATCGAATTTAAAATAACATTTTTCTAACCGTTCGTTTTCAAGTGGCATTTTCAGTGATGTCATCACTTAACATACCGCCCCTAACCGTTTTGTAGCCCGGTTAGTTTAAACCGGAGCGAAGTGAAAAGGTGTATACAGTGTTTTAAACTCGGTTAGTGCATATTACGCCAACAGTTGAGGTCTGCAGCTAGAATGCTGGATCTTTCAATTGTCTATCTTTGTTTGTAGAAGGGAAAATAAAAGAGAAGCAAATATGACCAGAGCGGGCTTGACGTCACTGTGATGTGAAGTAAACAGTGAACGCAACCGCAACTCGCGCCATCCACGACAATCTACGAAAAGCGTGAAAACAAACATTGGTTGTATTCCTTTCAGGAGTTTGGAACATTCGAGCTACTCGCTTCAGTGTTAGTTGACCCCGATTTAAAAGGAAGAGATGCGTGGTGCAATAAACACTTTTCCAAAGGAATAAGCGCGTAACGTACCGGAGCTCCTCTAGGTGTGAAAGGAATACAACTATTCAATCTGCCATAATAATTGTATTCCTTTCACACCTAGGAGGTTCTCCTGAACAGCTCCGGGGCGATACGCGCTTACTCCATTCGAAAAGTGTTTGTTGCACCCTTGAAGTGCTCAAGCCCTAATCAAACCGTAAATGCACACGAAAGCCAGCGCATCTGTTCCTTTCAAATCGGGGTCAACCAACACCTGGGCGAGTAGCTCTAGTGTTCTAAACTCTTGAAAGGAATACAACTATTCTGAAATATTACAGCTCAGTTAGTGCGACACAAAAAACAAACCTTTAACCACAATCGAACGCTCCAAAGCAGGAAAACCAGGTCCGAACAACACAAACAAACCTAAATCTTCAATTACCCGAAATTACTCGATTTATAAGATGTTAGAAAATTACCCTGCTTTTAGTCAAATTACCCGCAGATTGGCAACACTGGATTAGTGGTAGGGAACAAATCGACTAAATGGCCTGCTTAGAAACGGAATCGAGAATACGTGTGGGCTCTTCTACCATAATTGGGTTACACCTGTATGCACCGTATGGACTTGGGAGTTTAATCTCGCTTAGTCCGAAAATTTGTATGTAAAAAACAAATCCTAATCTGGTTTAAGCAACTAATCTGGATTAAGTCCTTACGGTGAATGTGGGCGTTAGGTCGTGTGAAATGGCAAATGCCTCTGCAATATTTCCAACATGGTTTGTATTGTTCGAGAACTTAGGCCACTTGAGTTATGAACATTAAAATCTCCCAAGAAAATCTCGGAGTTCGGATGAGGCTGAAATTTTCCATTTTCTAACGCAACCTAGTGCAAGGCATAGAGAGCGCAAGGGTTTATGAACGCATTCCCCTATAGAGCCGCTTTCCAGTGCCTAAATTGTTAGAGTATCATGCTCCTGAAGTGTGACGCTCTTGAACTGTTCGACATAAGCAGCACTGGAACGCTCTCGTCTTAACCCCCACCATTTCGGATTTCAGGAGCATGAAACACAGACAAAAGGGTTGGTGCACGAGGGGGCAGGGGATAACAGAAATCAGTAGCTCAAGTGTACGACACTCTAAGCACTGGAACGCGCAAAGCAATTGTGGAGCACTCCTGAGCTGCCCAGGAGTAACTCAAATGGGTCAATGGAAAGCACCTTTGTTGTATTCCTTTCAAGAGCTTGAAACACTCGAGCTACGCGCTTCGGTGCTTAGTCGCCCCCGATTTGCAGGGAACATATGCGTGGTGCAACAAACACTTTTCGAAAGGAATAAGCGCGTGAAGCCCCGGAGCTGTTCCGGAGCTCCTCCTAGGTGTGAAAGGAATACAACTAATAACCTTCTGAAAACCCCTAAATGTCATTTTGTCTCCTGTCATATCAATCAAGGAAAAAATAGTAAATTTGACAAATGACAGGAAAAACAAAACCGTTTCCATTTTATAGAAAGATAAATTCAAATTTATCCAATCTGGATGGTAGTTCTGTGTAGTTTTGTCTCGTATTAGGCTGGGGGGGTGATATTGTTATAAATTAATATTAAATAAAAGTTATATTTCAAAATGCAACCAGCAACAGAGGAGTCAGATTGTCACACTCCCAAAAAACAAATACTACATTCCATCAAAATACCAGCTTCCCCATATATGAAAAGAATTGGCTTCGGAACAGGTAAAATTTAATATGTTTTGTTCAATTATTGTCATTCTTCATACAAACAATTATTTACCCGTTTCATGCTTTTCAAGGCATTGCAGTCTACGAACTAGAACGTTCTCCAGCTTTCAACAAGTTTAGGTCACCATGGGCATTGAAAAAGTTACTGAAACGTACACGAAAGGATACTGCTAAGAATACTGAGCTCCAAAAACGTTTAAACTACGAAGCCGAAATATTGCGTAAACTAGACCATCCCAACATTGTCGGATTCAGGGCCTTTGTAGAAAAAAAAGATGGGAACATCTTGGCCATGGAGGAATGCAGTTTCTGCTTGGGGGACTTAATTGAAAAGAGGCAAGAAGACGAAAAAGGGCCTTTCGATGCAAAAATTTTGAAGAAAGTTTGCTTGGATGTTGCCAAAGCAATATCATACCTGCACAACACTGCTTTACTAATGCATTGTGATTTGAAATCTTATAATGTCCTGATAAAAAATGATTTTGAAAAATGCAAACTTTGTGATTTTGGTGTTTGCCTTCCTATAACTGCAGACGGCAATTTGGATTTAAACAAAGCTCCAAGGGCTAAGTTCTGTGGAACCAAATGTTGGTACGCACCAGAAGTATTACGAGATCCCCAAATCATTACAACAAAAGGTTTGATTAGTTTATTATTGCTTTGGCCTTCTAATAAAACTTCTAATATTATATTTTAGCTGATATTTATAGCTTTGGTCTAATGATATGGGAAATGATTGCCCTTTGTCCTCCCATTTTTGAAGATATGATTGAAGATATCAAGAAAACTTCAGAAATGGATGAAGAAAAATTGGATGAATTACTGGCAAAAGAGGGTTTTCGAAAGAGGCCACCTATACCAGCAGATGTAGATTTGGGTAAGAAACTCTGAGTATACATAATAATAGGTCTGTTCACACAGAAATCACAAACCAAACAGAACAAATTTCATTGGTTGAAAACAGTTGGTTGAAAACAAAAAACCAGTTTCAACCAATGAAATTTGCTCTGACTGAACTGTGAATTGACCTTATACTATCTTGATTTAGGACAATTTTTTTCTAATTTAGAGATTCAAAGAAAAACACCCATTCTTCCTCCACAAGTATATCTTTATTGGAATCAAAAAGTCCTACCAGTTTTGAAATTAGAAAGTTTCATTTTCAGGAGCAAAAAAAAAAAAAATTATTTAAATCAGCTCAGATAGTCAAAAAAAGGTGCATAGTCAAATCGGAGTCACACAGTTGGGCCCTTTTACCTGAACTTCAGTTTATGCCCTTTAAGCATATATAACAGTTGGGCCCCATATACAGGTATCTACTTAATGAGATTATGGCAAACATAATTATTTAACGTCCATGTTTAAGTATACGGGGTGAATAAGAAAACTATGAATTATTTCATTTTAAGTACATTTTTATTTCCCAAACGAGTAAAATACATAGGTACACACAAATTAATTTTAACTTACAAATCTATACATGAAAATGATAAATAAGATATAAACTCTAAAAGCACTATTTATAAACAATTCAACTTGGCGCATACTTCCACGAAATACATTTGATAAAATTTATTCTGTCAATTTTTTTTGACCTATACAGGGTGTCCCACGGTGAATGGCGTATTAGACGTTTATGGAGAACTAAAAAGCGGATCATTTTGAAAATTTGGCAACCAAGATAAACGACCATAATCTACACTTTAAAAATATTTTTGTTTATGCAGTGTTGCCGCTTCTACTCTAAACTTGTAGCAACATTGCTATTTCAGATGGAACACCCTGTATGTGATTGCATATTTCGATTCTACATAAAATTTTGAGCAGATTTCATGTGATATACCCTATACCTAAGTTCAACTGTTTTGGAAATATTGACAGTTCAAAATTGACTTTTTGCAACTTTGACAGGCTGTAAAAATATAAAAAACATAGCGATGTTGCCACTGGTTAAGAGTAGAAGCGGCAACACCGCATAAACAAAAATATTTTTGAAGTGTAGATTATGGTTAGTTATCCCGGTTGCCAAATTTTCAGTATGATCCGCTTTTTAGTTCTCCATAAACGTCTAATACGCCATCCACCGTGGGACACCCTGTATTCCTGTATTTTGCTTTCTACAAATTTCTTTTTCCTTTTTACATCAGCTCTCATAGCTTTTGGAAATTTGTTAGCTGTTACAATTTTAATATATATTTCGCTTTGAAAATTTATTAGCATATCTACAAATTTGAATATGTTGGGATGCGAATGGTAAAAACTGTCATTAAACTTTGAATGAAACGATTTACATGCATTCGTCGTTCGATGCAATGAAGATGAAAGGTTTGCCCAAATGTTTGGAGGAAATTGTGAATCGTCGGTCATATAATTTTCTACTAAATAATCACAAAATTTTGTTGATCTTTCATCTTCCGGTAAGTCACTAACTAAATCAAAAGTGAAACAATCACCCACTGCAGAAGGTTCTAAAAATTGAAGACCAAAAAAGTACTTAAGTCTTTTTCCAATTTCGGTATTATTTTTATATTCGCTACTTAATCCAAGCGACTGCAATTTTCTGAACCATGCCTGTGATAGATGAAATCGGCAACCAATAATTACTGACTCAGGCCAAGTAACAGAAACAGCATTATGAATGGCTACCTCGAAATCTATTACTACATTTTTTGGGGTCAATATCAAGTTATTTTCAACACATTTTTCAGTCAAAATACTAAATAAGGTTTCATATATAAATTGGATCTTACTCGGTAACAAACAAAAAATAGTGGTACATAATGACCATTCTTGTACCCATGGAGAGTGAAGAACTGACAAAAAAACTTTGCACAAAAATTAAAGGTTCCGTCCATAAAAACAGTTTCTACAGAACACAGAAAACGCAGATTTGTATAACAAGAAAATATCACTATGTTATGTTGTTCACTATTTATCATTAAAAACGATTCGTTCTTTGAAGTTTTTGGTGAGAATACTCTTAAAGCACAAAAAACTTTGTCTTGATTCTTGGGTAATGTGGGAACTTGTGACTTTCTACACTCGTAAATATTTTTTTGAATAAGGTAAGGTTTTCAACTGATGTGTCGAAGTTAACTATGAATTATTTTTGTAGGTCTTTCATATGGATTACTAGCCGCTTTTCTTTTAATAGAATTGCTTAAATTTTGCCTTTCAATATTTTTTTCAGGCATATGATTATGATTTGACTTAGATTTTAAAATACATTTAAAATCTGTGGCCGGTGTATGGACACTGGCTGGACACTTTGTTTTTTTGTTTACACACCTCCAATATACACTGCCATCTTTTAAAGTTTTTCCAACACAAAACTTGAATCCACTGATCACTAGAAGTTGCTTCCCTTTCTCACTTAACATTGGTTGAACTTCCATCGTCTTCTAAAGTTTGCGAAAAACTGACAAAAATAAATAATGTTACTTATTTTATTAATTGCCTACCTTTGCATGCACCCTGTATAGGTACTTAAGGTACCTTCATTATACGAATTTCAAGGAAAAAATTATAATAGTTCATATCAGGGCCCAACTGTTGGGTGTAACCAGCAGGTTACCTGTAAAAGGGCCCAACTCGGTAACGCCCAGTCAAATAAACCGCCAGAGTTAGCATTGTGTGGAGAAATTTTTTCAAAAAGTTGAAAAGTAATTAAAAAGTTGAGTAAAAAGATTTTTGAATAAATAAATTAAAAATAAATCAAAAATTGTAAAAAATTGTAAAAAAATTGTAAAAAACATTACTTAGAAACAGAACAAATAAAACATTAAAATGAAGAAAAATTGAAATTTTCTTTCTCTCTAAAAATTGTCATGTTCTTAAGTACAATTTTTCTGGTAGGGATTTTTGATTCCAATAAAGATATACTTGTGGAGGAAGACTGGGTGTTTTTCTTTGAAATTAAATTTCAACTCCACTTTGAGTCATGGACTACTTTTTCAATTTATTTTCATTTTAGGTAGCTAACTAGATATACATGTCTGGCAAGTCATCATTCTACAGGCCAATTTTATTGCAATGGAATGAAATTTCTAGAAAAAGTCTAAGGTTAACGATTTCCCCTGTTCCACCTCCAACATGGAGCACTGGGAATGCTAGCTGGAGGTGAAACAAGGGAAATCGTTTCCGTTCTCTATTTAACCTTAGATATTTCATTCTATTGCATTAAAATTGGCCCGTAAGATTTTGACTTGCCAGGAAGTCTCCTGCAGACTTAAATCAGATAGTAGTAACTATTCATTGTTCTTAATTATTTATCTCTTTTAAAATCATAGACCATTAAATATTCAAAAATTACTTTTCTTGTCTATGAGTGCCCAATTTTAAACTAAGCTTAGTCATAATATGTTTGCCTCAATTTTTGCTAATAATTAAAACCTATTTTCCTTTACCAGGTGAAGAATATAAACATATTCTGGAAATCTATTATCGCTGCACTTGTGAAGACATGAAAGATAGACCATTGGCCAGTGATCTTGAGGTTATTCTAAATGATATTTTTTATAAGAAATAATTATATTATTTTATAGTAAGGGATAGAAATTACAAGTTGTTTTTTGGTAGAAACATCCTACTTTCAGATTTATTTAACAAAGTTACAGGCTGTAAAGATTCAGGATTCAAATATGTAAGAGCGCATTGTACTTAAACTCATGGGTTTGTTTTAATTTATTTATATCGATTTGCACCGACCATTTTAAATGAAGTTCAAAGATAATCAACGCTAAAAATCACATTTTTACATGTAAAAGCATACAAAAAGGCGTTGATTATCATTGAACTTCGGGCAGTGCAAACGGCCATTAGGTAGGCAAAGCTTGCCTTATTTTGCTGAAATGGACATAAATTTACAGTTTTTAATTTCAGGAATTCGATATTGCAAGCATTATTTACATATTTCCTTTTTTTTTTTGTGGAGTTGACCTACCCAATGGACAAGTCCTAGAACTTTGCTCTTCTTATTCAAAAACACTGTAGCTGCATACATAAAAATCCTAGTAAGGGAATCAAAATACATAATCAAAACCTGCTAAAATTAATTTCTATATCTATATAGAAATGTAAACTCAGAAAGTAGGATATAGGTATAATTAATAACTTTTTTTAACTTGCTAAAGTTTCGATACATGGGCACCATTATGACTGTCATCTCGTTTCACATTGTGACGTCAATGTGACAAAATTGTTGTTTCCCTGGCACATTAATATCTGTTGTTTTATTTGCTAATTTCTTCCCCTATTAATGCCCGGTTTATTCGTCTGTTAATAGGCTTGCTGGAAACTGTCTATAAGACAAAACTAGTTATCCGGCCGACCATTAGGATTATAGTTTGCGTTTTTATTTTTTAGAATGTGTTACCTGATTTTATTTTTAGAAGCTGAATAAACCGGGCCTAGATGATTTTCTATTTTATAAGTATTATGTTTTTTGCTTATTTCTTCTCCTACTAAGGCCCGGTTGCATTTTTCCGTTTCCTATAGTGCTAGCGCAACCGAGTGCGCTAATCCTGTAGCAAACAGATGCAAGACCTGTAATTCCATTCCCTAAGTGGTTTACGCACCTCACACATTTATTAAGCATGGCTCTGCATACCTGAAAAAGAAATATGTGCGTTTGAATGAATGAGTGAATGAATGAATGAATGAATGAACTCTTTATAATGTATATAGATATTTTACTTCTTCGGTTGGTTTATATCTTACCTCAATTATTGTATTTAAATTTTCCTTCAACAGCGGATCTCTAAGTTTTGTGTATTTGTTAGATTATTTCATTTTGACAATCAATTTAGCAGGGCATCTCAAGTTTCTGGCATGCGTGCTGTTGCTTTCTTGTTTCATTTTTGCAGCTGTGTTGACAGACAAAATCTTTTCTAAATTGGAGTCTTTTCAAATTATTATAGGTTTGATGCACAATTCATTGTAGTTTGGTCACAGCAGAGAATTTATTGATTCGATTGATACTCTGGCTATTGCAGTCCTCAATAGACATTTTGGTTCTAACTAGTACCTCATACTCGCTTTCATTTGTCATATCGCATTTCAGGATTCGGCAGTCTTCATCAAACTGCCCTATGATACCTTCCATTGCGATGAGGCTCAAGTAACACCCACTACTTAACCACAATAAACAAACAGATTACCGTATTAATCAGCTGATGGCTTGAAGATGCGCATAAGGTGCGTTAACCACTTAGGGAATGGAATACAGGTCATGCATCCATTTCCTACAGGATTAGCGCACTCGGTTGTGCTAGCACTATAGGAAATGGAAAAATGCGACCCAGTTCATTCATCTGTCGATAAGCTTGCTGGAAACTGTCTATAAGACAAAACTAGTTATCTGGTCGACCAATAGGATTATAGTTTGCGTTTTTATTTTTTAGTATGTAATACCTGATTTTATTTTCAGAAGCTGAATAAACCGGGCCTAGATCATATTTTTTTATGTTGTTTGACTAAGGGCGGGTATTATAAAACTATTTTGACAGATAACTAAAAGTTAACTTCTGGAATGATGTTACTTCTTATAGTAATTCCAAAAGTTAACTTTTAGTTATCTGTCAAAATAGTTTTATAATACCCGCCCTAGTGCAGTATATTGTAAGTAGGTTACTGTGAACTGTGTCCGTTTTGTTGAATGTTTATTATTTTGTTTATTGATGTTTTTTTTTTGTTTTCACACAGTTCAAAAAATGTATGGAGTTATATATTTTTTTGTAATAAATCTATCATTATTATCTCACCTTGGCTTTTAATGAAACTTTTTATTTGTCAAGAATATTGTTTAGCAACTACAGAAAAAAATATATCGAAAATACGTCCATACGCCTAAAGCGTAGCACTGCTGAAAAGCCCTCATTTTGGCGGTAATGACCTTGAAATATCTTGGTTCTGTGCTCAGATTTCTTCAAACTTGTCTGCAGACAGAGAAAAAAAATCACATCAGGATTGGCCACAATTTGACATAAACATTCTTTGATCGATTATCTACAATACCAATATTTTGTTTTTCGATATTTTGTGTTTTTCTCAATCAAAATTAAAAATAATGTATGTGTATTCCTGTTTTTATGTTTTTCAAGGTTTTGATCATTATGGATTATTTCTATGAAATAGAGAGATTACGCAATAAAAAAATCAAAATAGTGAAGTATAGGTAATAGTATATTGAAGGCTCTAAAAAAACTGTTTGAGCTCCACATTCGGGGTGGTGCATTGGGTACCAGACATCCGGATCAATATGCTTACAAAGCAGGAACCTCAACTGAAACAGCAGTACATCACCTCGTCCAGCGGGTAGAAAGTACATTGGAAAATAAGGAAATTATGTTGGGAGCCTTCCTTGATATATAGGGAGCGTTTGGCAACACTTCCTTTGAGGCAATCATGAGAGCTCTACGCCGACGAGGTATTGATGATACATGCTGCACATGGATAGACTGCATGCTTCGTGGTAGAGTCATCCACTCCACGCTCCTAGGTAAAACAGTAACGGCTCAGGTTGCAAAGGGATGTCCGCAAGGCGTTCCGCAAGTGTTATCACCCCTGCTGTGGAATCTGGTGATAGACGAGCTACTGAAGAGCAACAACCATCAAGTAGTGGGACATGCAGATGACTTGGTCATAATATTCCAGAGAAAATTCAACCATATAGTTAGAGATCGCATGCAGCAGGCTCTAACAATGGTCTCTAGGTGGACAGAGATTGTAGGGTTGAAAATTAGTGCCACCAAATCGACAACTGCCCCCTTTACCAAAAGAAGGCAAATAGAGGGACTTGGACCTCTTTACCTTCAGAGAAACTCAGTTACGATGTCAGACGGAGTTAAATATCTTGGGGTAATCATAGACTCAAAATTAACTTGGACCAAACATCTGGACAAAGTAATTAAAAGGTCAGAAGTGGTACTTATATCAACCAGGAAAACTGTCGGAAAAACCTGGGGGCTGCGGATGGACATTATGGGTCTTTGATATGGTGGACAAAGACACAACAAGACAGATCTAGAATGAGACTTGCCTGTCTGGCCATTACAGGGTGCATGAGAAGCACATCAACAGCAAACAAGTCCTACTAGACCGACCTTCGCTACACATTGTGATTCAGACGGAAGCCAGGATGGGCCTCCACAGACAATGAAACAACCTGAGGAAACTAACAGTCAGATCAGGCCACACACAAATAAGGGAAGTCATAAATCTGACAATACTCACCCGACATATCCTTCCAAGTCCTAATTAGTAAAAGGGGGGAATGGTAAAACCAACATGCATTCTCCAATCTCAAATGCCAGACCAGGTACTCGGACGGGTCAAAGACTCAAAATGGCACAGGCGCAGGAATCTACAGTCAAGAAGGAAGATGCGAGACCTTCTTCTCCCTAGGGTCACATATATCTGTTTTCCAGGCAGAGGTATATGCAATACTACAATTCTCAAGAATCAACAATATGAGGGCCTGCAAAGACAAGAGACTCACTTTACTCACAGACACTCAGGCAGCACTGGGGGCATTGAAGAACCCAAAGGCAAACTCTGCACTGGTAATGGAATGCCGAGAAGAACTCAACAACTTGACGGACCAAAATAATGTCTGAGTTTAATCAGACGACTTCCCCCACCAAAAAAAAAGGTATATTGAATCCATCGAAGAAAGTTTATGCCAAATTTAAACCAACTCTGATGTGAGATTTTTTAATGCAAATAAATCCAGAATCACTTCTGAAAAATTAATCTGAAATAAGTCAAATCATGGAAACTGGTTACCAGTTTCTATTGCGAATTGCGTTTTGATGTCAGTGCAGTTCCACAAGTGTAAACCAGAACCGTTTAGCAGGTTAATCATTTTCAAATGATTAACGGGTCAGTTAAGTTAGCCCCCCCCCCCATATTTCCAAATCCATTAAAACCTATACCATTTTTTTGCACCCATTTTGCACCACCCGAAAAAAAAATTGCACCCCCTCAGGAGAGAGATTATATAGAAGTATTACTGGGGGGGGGGGGGGGGGGGGTGGGGGGGGGGGGGCAAATTAACCATGGCCCCCCCCCACACGCCGAATTTCAATTTATGATAGCATAAATTGTTCTCCGAGTTTTGCACCATAAATAATAAATTTTGCACCGCAACCCTTAGACCTCTATAGGGGGTTGAAAGAGAAATAGTTGGGCCCCCCCCACACGCCAAATTTCAATTTAAAATAGCAGAAATTGTTCTCCGAGTTTTGCACCATAAATATTAAATTTTGCACCGCAACCCTTAGACCTCTACAGGGGGTTGAAAGACAAATAGTTAGCCCCCCCCCACACGCCAAATTTCAATTTAAAATAGCACAAATTGTTTTTCGAGTTTTGCACCATAAATAATAAATTTTGCATCGCAAAGCTTAGGCCTCTACAGGGGGTTGAAAGAGAAATAATTGGCCCACCCCGAACGCCAAATTTCAATTTATGATAGCACAAATTGTTCCTTGAGTTTTGCACCATGAATATTAAATTTTGCACCGCAACCCTTGGGACGCTACAGGGGGTTGAAAGAGAAATAATTGCCTCCCCACACGCCAAATTGCACAAATAACAATTTGTTATTTGTGCAATACTACAAATAACAATTTGTGCAATACTCACGGAACACCTTGAGTATTGCACCATTTTGAACCATAAATATTAAACTTTGCACCGCAACCCTTAAGCCGCTACAGGGGTTTGAAAGAGAAATAGTTTTCCCCCCCAGGCCAAATTTCAATTTATAATAGCACAAATTGTTCTCCGAGTTTTGCACCAAAGTATTAAATTTTGCAAAGCAACCCTTAAGCATCTACAGGGGGTTGAAAGGGAAATAGTGCCAAAGTATCGGTGATGACGTAGTAGCGTGTCGTTTCTCGCCTTGACTTGCCTTGACGTAGGGTGTTTGCACCACAGGCTATAATTCTGCTGGCGTCTGCTTTAATATTCTAAATTGCGACCGCTGGCGCAAACAGCCTGTCTGGTGCTACACCAGATGACCTTGAAATCCAAAAAGAGGCCGATAAGCAATCCGTGTGTAGTGTGTATTATCCTTGGGTAAATTCGAGGGTAAATTGTATAGGGTTTTCAGCTGTGTTGGAACAAAGTTAATATGTCTCTTTCAACCCCCTGTAGAGAAAGGTTGCGGTGCAAAATTTAATATTAATGGTGCAAAACTTGGGAAACAATTTGTGCTATTTTAAATTGAAATTTGGCGTGTGGGGGGGGCCAACTATTTCTCTTTCAAACCCCTGTAGAGGTCTAAGGGTTGCGGTGCAAAATTCAATATTTATGGTGCAAAACTCGGAGAACAATGTCTGCTATTGTAAATTGAAATTCGGCGTGTGGGGGGGGGCATGGTTAATTTGGCCCCCCCAGTAAGACTTCTATATAATCTCTCTCCTGAGGGGGTGCAAATTTTTTTTCGGGTGGTGCAAAATGGGTGCAAAAAAATGGTACAAGTTTTAATGGATTTGGAAATATGGGGGGGGGGCTAACTTAACTGACCCATGATTAACACCGCTTTTAGTGGAGTTTGACTCAATAGTGTAGATGCTCTAGATATCAGAGCATCAGTACACTGAATTTTAAACATGTGTCACAACATATTCTTCAAACCTGTTTGGACTCAATATTTTTTCAAACTGATTCAATAAAATTCTTATTTTGTATCTTTGGTGGTTTTATTTTAACAAAAATAAATATAAACATTAACAATAAACTGTATCTCTTCTAATATCGTTATAGTTCTTCTTTATTTAATTTATAGTCGGTACCAACAAGCTGTGAAGTCAAGTTCTTTAAATATTGAAGATAATCTGATTCTGCATCTTCATTTCTAAGCAATGTTTTATATAATTTCAACAATGGTTCATTTTTATATACATTTTGGCATTTATTTGCTAATGAACCCATTGATAACAGACATTTTTCGATGGAATCAAAATCAGTCAAATCAATTTCTATTAAATCATTCATTAATTCATTCAAGAGGTTACACCAATCTAACTTGAACAATGCCTCATCTATATCAAGGTTCCCATGATTTTCAAAATTGTCAGCATCACTCTGTCTTTCAACTATGAGATCATTGAGTAAAGTGACTATTTTCAACTTCAATTTTATAGTTCCAGTTTTAAATGATTCTGTAAGAATGCTCAGTCCTCCAATTTCTATAAATTTGTTTTGGGCATGTGGGAAAGTTCTAAGGGTACAACTTAAAGCAGTTAAAGCGCTGTTTTTGATTAAATCATTGTCTTCTTGATTTATTATTCTTGATAGTATTGCTATGCCCCCAGTTTCTAATATGTGAACTTTAACCTTTGGATTATTTTGAGCCAAAACGGAAAATAATTTTAGGGTTTCGTGTTTTATAGCGATATTTGTTGAATTTAGTTGTTTATAAATTATTTTTCGAAAACCATCTAAATTATAAAATTCATTAGCATTATCAATTTGATGTCCTAGATATGTTAAATCCTTTAAAATAGTTATGATACTCAGCTCATTTGCGTTTTTAATTGCTTCTTCTTGAAACTTTTTGAATAATTCCTGTAGAATCGCCAAATCACTTTTTGGTTGCAACTCAATGTCTCCCAATTCCTCTAGTATTTCATCCATTGTTCGCAATTTGCTTGGCATATTGAACTTTGATTTTTTCTTATTTACTTTCTTCAAAAACTGTTCCATTTCAGGGGTGGTTATAGTCCCTTCACTTTCCTCGGTGTCTGTGTCATCTTTTAAAACAAAACTTTTTGTTTTATCATCATCTTCTGGAGTGAGAATCTTGGCTTCTTTTTTACCAGTGGACAAATTAATTTTGTAGTGGAGACCAGAAGGGACTTTTTGGCCTAAATATGAAATATTGTAGTATCGCAAATATACATTCAACAATTATTTAATTTTTTACCTTCTTTAATTTCTTTCCATTCATTTGTGGCTCGAAAACTATCTTCAGTTTCACTTTTCGCATCTTTTTTTGATACCGAGATTTGGAAAAGTATGGAAAATACCAAAAAAATCACTTCTAAGTTCATTTTTCTATTTGTTTTTCACTGAATTGTTTTCCAAATTATTTTAGTTTTGAATTGTTAATTGTTTACTGACCACAGTTTCTTAGGTTATGTTTTTAATGCTTTGTTCCACACAGCAAAAAAACTTACAAGGTCTGTTTCTGCAGAAATCACAAACCAGTCAAAGTGAATTTCATTGGTGGAAACTAGTTTTCTGACTGTTTCTGACTGTTTTCAACCAATGAAATTCGCTCTGGCTGGTTTGTGATTTCTGCAGAAACAGACCTATAATTAACCGTCACGATTCTGCGCAAAACCTAAAACGTGTGCCGAGTTGGTATTCAGAGTGGTTTCGAAACAGTTCTAGGGCCGATTTTTGACGTGTTGGAACACACCTTGTTTTCAGTTTACAAGTATTCGGAGGTACCTCATTGGTCAATTTTTCAAATTAATATCACATCCAGTGCGCACCCAGAAATAGGAAATAGGTTTTCGGGAATCTCATTCGGAGGGTACCTACGTTAGGTACCTACCTCTAGGTACTACGTAAAGTTGAATATAATTACTTGACCTTGACATCATCGAATAAACTGAGTCAGTTTTTAACTTATAATTTGTATCTATTTATTATCTATAGACAACAATCCAACTTCGAAGGTTGTGGCACAAGATGAGGATATCCGGGCAAGGGCGTATCCAGCTCAAAACAGAAGGGGGCAGCTTTCTGAATTCTATCGTCTATGACGCCTACGTTTTGTATAGCCTTCTCAAGGACAGGGGAGGATGCGTAAAATAATACATAATAACAAAAGGGATGCCCTATATGCGATTCTAGTAGTCTCAGGGCAAGGTTGTTTGAGAGATATAGGTTGCCGGATAACTTTTATGACGTCATCTAGGGTGCCTCAACATAATGCAAATCTCCATAAGGCACCCCAGATGCGTCATCAAGTTACCCATTACCAGACAAACCTTATTAACTTTTGGAACCTTGGGAATTTGGGATATACCTTTTCACGTGCCGGGAATATGGCAAATTATGATATTTTTCGACGCAGATACTTGAATGCAACCGAAAATGAATATTTTGTAGATTTCAGGTAGATTATTAAATAAATTAATAAATAAAAATGAAAAATTTAAACAAAACATCACTGAAAACGCTGTCTCATTGGCTAAAGCCGATATTCATCAACTAAATGAACGGTCGATGCTGGTGGTGCATATTATGGTTGTGAAAGTACTATCATAAGAAAGAGTAGCTTTTCTAATTGTCGGAAAAACCAATTCACTTTTTTTTGAAACCTCAGTAATGTCTGGTGTTTCACTGTTTCCTGTACCTGATTCCACATTTTAAACCATAATTCACTTTCTCCTCCGATGCCTTCTAAATTGTAGAAAGTTACACAAGGAGAAGTACTTTTTTTCCATTCGTCCAATGAAACATGTACTGTCTTGAACAATGAAAATACTCCCCTGTTGCTCGCTCAACTATCACTAGGTACTTGGCTGAGTACCTGTCATTCTTATCTCTTCGGTTTTAAGACCTTATATTTCTAGGGTCGCCATTTTTTTTTTTCAGAAAATAACAGACACACAGCCGAAAATAACATTTAACAAAAAAAAAAAAAACAAGTTCTGACGTCATCTATCATTATATATAGTGGCGGCGCGGAGGGGGGATAATTTTCTAGTCGTACGTAAAACAAACTTTATTTTCATTGAAACTGGAAACTCTATATCAGGGAAATCCCATCAATTCCAGTGTAGTCTACCTTAACCTACTGGTAGTGCTCTTTTATGCCGACTAAGGAGCACGGTCTCTGTCTGGATGTGTTCCTTTATGCTCATAGATGACGCCACATATGGAACAAATAATATTAAGATAGTAGGCCAATTGGAACATGTTTTAATTTTAATGTCCGAAAGAACGCTGTCCAGATTTTCGTGATCGGAACAAACTAATCACAAAAAAAAATGTTCAATTTGTTCAGAATTTATCGGATCATGATTTGCTAACTGTCAAATATCAAAATGCGAAAGAACGTGATTACTGGAACATAACGCGTTTTGATCAACTGATCCGGTCCGAAAGAATGGGGCTCAGGTGTTTGTTTTTTATCTTTCTTCAATGAATACGATTGAAAAAAGACAAAGTACATCAGCTGGTGAGTCGATTAATTGGATCAGCGTTTCCGGAAAGGCCTAGGGCCGGTTTCTTAATAGCAAGTCACCCCCGGGTTAAGCATAAATCCAGGGTAAACATTGCAACTGGACACGTTTACCCTGGAGTTAAAACCAGGGCCCCCGCCAGACCTGAAGCCGCCTGCGTGCGATTTCATATTATGGCGCCCCTAAGTTAGAGCCAGTTTCTCAATAGAAAGTCATCCCCTGGTTAAGCATAAAGCTTACTTTTCATGCATCCGTTTTTCCGTCAATTCGTTGATCCGGGAGTATTCCTATTAGTCCAATATTTTGGCGCCAAAATATTGGACCAATAGGAATACTTCCGGATCAACGGATTGACGGAAAAACGGATGCATGAAAAGTAAGCTTAAACTCCAGGGTAAACATTGCAACTGGACACGTTTACCCTGGAGTTAAAACCAATCCGGAGGTGACTCGCTATTGAGACACTGGTTCTAGCTAGAGGGGCGCCAAAATATGAAATCGCGGGGGTTGGCGATTAAAAAGAGAGCAACAATTTTTGGAGTGGCATTGAGTCAACAGACGTGTCTCGTATCACCTGAAGTGGCAATCAGTTGGGGGCAAATAGGTAGAAATTTGAAAGTACGCATACAGTAAAAATGTTACTATCGCCCCCAGCTGCGCGTGCATCTATGTTCTCTCCCAGTTCATCTCATTACTTTTAACACAGTTTATTGTTTATTCCATATTCGAAATGTTTTTTGCTTTATAAACATTTAACACCAATAAAAATTACAGAAAACTGACTTTTCTACAAAATCTTTCAAGAAATCTTCAACATTTATACTGTCCAAGAGATCACATTCTATGGACAAAATCGCTAATCCAGATGACCTTTCTTGTAACATTGTGGATCTTGAATAGTTTTTCAATAAAAACTCTGAGCTAGATGAATAATAATAGCCCAGAGTAATTTTGCAAGAACCAACAGAAAAATTGGCCCATTATGGCTGTACGGAGTTGAGAAGCGACCTGTAGCATTACAGGGTTCTATCAATTTCCAGTCTTCGTCACTCATATAAGATTTCACATGGAACCTGAGAAGGAGCCTGATGGCCTTTGAATAAAAGGGAAAATTATTGAAACACTAGGAAGAAAAATTTAATTAGTAAATATTATAAATTATTAAAAAAAATCTTAATTTATTTCTCGTGCGATTTGCCGCCCCTTGGTTATGCCGCCCGCGTGCGCCGCACGCCTTTGCGCTTATGGTAGCCGGGGCCCTGGTTAAAACTAACCCGGAGGTGACTCGCTATTGAGAAACCGACCTCTAGTATTCAATATAATATTTTTCCAAATGAGTAATAAAAATACCGGACAATGGACTAAAACGGACCGGACAAACGGACGGTTTCAAAATAACGGACTGTCCGTTACAAAAACGGACGTATGGCAACCCTATATATTTCATTTCATAAAATCACAAATCAAAAGAAATATAGAGTCGTAAAACCGAAGAGATGAGAATTACAGGTTACCCAGCCAAGCAGTGGTAGTTGAGCGAGCAAGGAGGGTATTGTTTAAAACTGTACGTAAGTAAATACCGCAGATAGACCTGTGCTGCATATATCTGTTGTAAAAACGTACAATGTCTCGGGATCATCGTACACCGGAGCAGCAAACGCTTGTGCTCCACCGGTGTACGATCATCCCGAGACATTGTAGGTTTTTTTTACAATGGATATATGCGGCACAAGTCTACCCGCGGTATTTACGTACGTTACATGTTTAATGTTTCATTGGTGTACGACCGCACTTACAGTCGTGAGTATTAAAAATGGGACAGCCGATTTTTCCTATCGTAAAATGGGCTCACCAGCTACACCGTCGGCAATGACAGGGATTGTTATATCTGATATTTGACAAAAAATCCGTTGTACATAATGCTGGCCACAGACTAGCATACAAGTTCGTCATACATGTTTGTCATACATGTGTATCGTCCATGCATGACGAGCGCTTTTCATCTACAGATCTACACACTAGCTTGTCACATAAGTAGTATGGAAGTACACGATGAACAGTGATGACGAATTTAATCTACTGGCAGCGGCGTACCGTACACTGTTTTAATTTGTTTAATAGTTCAAAAGCCAAAAATTTGAACAAAATGGGCCAAAGATTGGCTTTTAAAACGCTCAAAATATATGCATTCAAATCTTTCAGAAGAATTGCGATTGGAACCAGATAATTGGTGAAATTACCTGAGGATGGATGAAGATAGCTACTTAATGCTATCAACGTTACTACATTTTAAGCAGGTCCTGAATTTTAAACGTATTCGTACCCGCATAAATTTGCGCATGTGCAGAATAGATACGATGGTTTCGTTGCGTTAACCGTATCATTACGGGCCTCGTCTTGTATCCGTATCTGAAAACGTATCTCAATAATTTGATACTATTGAGAGATCTTTCTGTCGATTATCACTAAAATATCTTCAACAGCATAAACACAGTACCTAGTTAGGTATAGATAAAAAGAAAACCTACAAACACAGCCACAGAATCAATACAACACTTTTTGAGGTTAGAAAACTTTTCATACAAGGATACGATCGTTTACTTAATGATATGACCATGCTTGAAAAGACTTTTTGGCGGTCAACGTAAGTCGATGCGTTTACGGATGCGGATACGGATACGTAAAAAAATTTAGGGTTTGCTTAAAGTGTCTAGGTCTCCAATAATAGAAAAATAGAATACAATTTTAAGGGCTGCCATATCACCACACGAGCGATTAACAGCCACATTTCGCTATTAAGCTACTACTGGAAGCGTGTGGAAATTGAAGGGAAAAAATAAATTAAGATACACAAATAACATTATTAATAACTAAAGAGTATTTGTATAATTTAGAAAATAGGTAACAATAACTGATATGAACAGTATTCATGATTCATGTGACCTCAACAAATAATTTCAAAAAATAAAAGTACGCTGCGGGTGCGAGATTACGAGCCACTGTACTAACAAGTGTGCAAATGAAGAGTGAACATGGGCCATACACCGACAATCTTGTATGTAAGTACCTACATGCTTGCGCGTGCATGAATTCCGGTCAGATCAGAAAACTTGTGTGACATACATGCTTGCAGATTTTTGCCCACACACAGGAAAACATGAACGCGCAAACCTTTACGACAAACATGTATGACGCACATGTATGCTAGTCTCTGGCCAGCTTAAGAGACTGATTTGCCCAGAATAGCGAAAAATGACAAGAACTTTCAGTCGGGTGAACCACTTTTAATGCTCACGACTTTACCTACCCCACAACTAGGGATGCCCATGCCCAAGATAACATCCTTATAAATTAATACAACTTTATTTATTTTCAGTCGTAAGATTTTTTAGTTTTTGGCGCAGTGTCGCACAAATGAGTTAAGTCTAACTTAAATATAGCCAGTGGCGTCCCCATCAGAGGGCGGCAGTCTGCCCCACCCTCCTTTCTTTTTTGTATAAGTAATTTTTTTTCATGTTTCTAGACGACCTTTGGTGGGTGATAATTTGGGCGTGGCACCCCCAAAAAATTTTCGGGGGCCTGCGGCAAGCTGCCTCCGGCGGTAAGTTGAAGGGGCCAAGAAAATTTTCGTCTATTTGCGATACCTAATAAGATTCAGTTCCGTTTAAAGAAAGATGAATGAGGATGATGAACTTACCCAAGGATGATACACACTAGGTATTTTACTACTAAAGATGGCCTATCCTCATAAGGCCTGTGTGTAAAAAATCCCCCCATTCCCGCCCCGTTGACATAGGCAGCATGTTATTTCTCGCCTTGACGTGGGATGTTCAAACAGCTGACGACTTAGTTATGACGTCGGAAATGGTAACACATTAATATGGCGGTGATTACCAAAAACGAGGCCGATAAAGTAATCCTGTAGGTGTGTATCATCCTTGGAACCCTCCTATCAATCCGCACCATAGAACCAAATTTGGTTTCTACGTTCGGCTACTTGATGTGAAGCCGCACACTCTACCACAGTCTTGGCACACCCAGCATCTGGCAGCATTGTCAATTCCTCTGTTCTCTTGCTCCTTCCTGCGGTCCCTCTTTTCGGTCTCGTGTCTGCGTTGCTGTTCTTCAAAAGTTTGTGGTCCGTCAAGAACATCTTTGTAGCGTTTTTGTTAACATCCTTAATTTCATTTTTCCTCTTTCAGTTGACTGTAGAGAATCTCGTGGTGTGCGTGTTCAGGCATGCGAACGGTTCAAGGTTGATTTGGAGGACATACGTTGGCCGCACCAATGCCGCATCAATAAATTTTGAATATATTTATTATATAAATGCGGAAGCTCAATAATATAATATTATCTCTTTACTTGGTTCACAAACAGCAAAAAAATATTCTTTTTTACCCGCAAAAATATGTAAACACACAGGCTGGAACATGCTCACGCACCCGGCCACGTTAAAGCCAGGCGCAAACCAGAGCGGTGGCGGTGGCGGGCGCGGTGGCGGTGGCGAACAGATACTGCACATGTAAATAAATCAACGCGTGCATACTGAGGCGAACTGGAAAACACGCCCGCCGTTCTTGCAGCGTTCTACCGCAGCTCTGCGGCGGTCACATTGCGATCGGCGGTAGAACGCTGCCTGCATCATTTTTCCGCCTAGTTCGCGCGATCTGCATCAGTACAGCGAAGTGCAAACATGTCGTGTGATACTGAAAAACTTAACGAAAATGTGCGAGAAAAAAAAAGAAAACAAGGCTTTTTCTTCCATGTCTTGGGCACTTATTGCGTACTTTTACAGTCAAAATTAAATATAAAAATGACAGTCAAGTAGCACCTGGTAAAACAGAGATTATTAGAAATGAAAAAAGAACAGAGAAACAGTTCATGTCCTGACGCGGGCGATCTGTGCCTATACGTCTGGCGGCTGGCCCACTTGTCGAGCCGTGGTTTCGTAGCTTTGAATCGTCGATGGTAAGGATACTTACTTACGTGCAGTGTTGCCAGATTTTAATTATGAAAAATCGCGACAGTGGATAGAACAAAATGTCGCCAAAAAAAAACAATATATAGGTTCAAAACATTACATTTTCGCGTTGAACTAATAATGACGTCATAACAAAACTGTTTGAAAATATTTTGAAACGAGATTTCGCCTCGGTTCAAAAACAAGCGCATGTGCAATAGTTTAGGAAAGTTGACAGTTTGTTTATGTTTATACTTGTGTTGTGTCTTTTGTAGGAGGTTATAGAAACATGAACAGAACACTCTTACATTTTTTGAAAAATAGAAAATAGGCTATGGCTAATTACCAGAAAAAAAAACAAACAAAAATCCTAAATCCTAGGTTATGTATGGGTAAATTCGTGTGGTTTGAAAAACTCATTTTTTCTCGAATAAAAATAATGACGTCAACAGATTTCAAAAACATTTCGAACTGCTGGGGTCGAGAAAAAACACTTCTAATCTTAAGTATGTCCTTGTCCTTCTTGGAACTTTTTGGATACAACAAGTCTGTTCCAACATGTCAAAAACCGTCCCATGAACAGTTTGGAAACCACTCTGTATACGAATTTCGGATTCTACGCACAGATTTCAGGCTTTGCGCAGAATTCATGATTCTACGGTACCTACATTAGCTGTGTTCGGCATTGTCATCTTTTTCATCGATTTGCTCTGAATTTTTAATAGGCACGTGATTTGTAAATTGAAACTGTCTGATCCAGTCACGTGCCTCTTAAAAATTTGGAACCGACTGCGACTCAGAACCGACGAAAAAGATGACAATGCCGAACCCGACTATTGTATTGTACAGGGTGGCCCATTTTCGATGTTTTAATAGGCTATATCGAAAACCAGCATAGATATCAAAAATCTGGGAGCACATTCTCGAGCTCTTTTTCTGAGAAAATAACAAAGGCGAAGACAAATCACGGCTAACTTGATGCGTTTAGGAAATACATGGCACTTCTCAAATTTTGTCCAATTTTAAAAGACTCTCTAATTTCCTTATTATTCAAGATATCCAAAAATGAAAAATACTTTCTATAGGCAGTTTTTTAAGGAGAATGCAGTGACATGACCAATTTTTCTCCAGATGCCTCCGATTTTGGAGTATTGACCAAAGTTGTGTTTTTTTAAATGGTACACCCCGTATATTATTTTTTTATTGAATAGCTCTTTGTGAGCTGATTTCAATGATATAAAGTTTTATACCTTTACCTTCTATAGTTTTGGAGAAAAAAAATTTATTCCGTTTTTCCATAAGAAACAATGAGCTAGAGAGAGATAAGTCATTAAATAAATTATGTGTTGCCTATTTATCACCCCCGATTCATAGTTCAACTATCTTTTTCTAACTCATTGTTTCTTATGGAAAAAACGGAATTAATTTTTTTTTCTCCAAAACTATAGAAGGTAAAGGTATAAAACCTCATATCATTGAAATCAGCTCACAAAGAGCTATTCAATGAAAAAATAATATACGGGATGTCCCATTTAAAAAAACACAACTTTGGTCAATATTCCAAAATCGGTGGCATCTGAAAAAAAATTGGTCATGCCACTGGATTCTAATTGAAAAACTGCCTCCAGAAAGTATTTTTCTTTTTTGGATATCTTGATTAATGAGGAAATTAGAGAGTCTTTCAAAATTGGACAAAATTTGAAACGTGCCCTATATTTCCTAAACGCATCAAGTTAGCCGTGATTTCTCTTCGCCATTGTTATTTTTTCAAAAAAAGGGCTCGAGAATGTGCTCCCAGATTTTTGACATCTCTGCTGGTTTTTGATATAGTAGCCCATTAGAACATCGAAAATGGGCCACCTGTACAGTTCCCTGCTACGTTGGAACAAAACTGTTGTCAAATCCTAACTCAAAAATGACAACCCTCGCTACCATTACTAGAAAGAGAAGGTATAATATAATGATATTATAGTCTAGAAAGAGAAAGAATATCGTTTTATAGGTGGTTTTTGTCGTTGTCGCCGAACTAAAATGTTTGAAAGTAGGCAACCCGACAACCCACAATTTCTCTAGCCGTTCGGCGTTGATCAAGGAAAACGCAGCCTAAAAGGGTGTTGTTGGCCAGAAATCGGGATATATTCCTTATATTTTTAAAAATCGGGACATTTGGCGCATCCAATTCGTGAATCGGGACGGTTCGGAAATATTTCTAAAAATCCGGACTGTCCCGCCTAAATCGGGACGTCTGGCAACCCTGCTTACGTGTCTGTATTAGGTGATCTGTGTCTGCGATTTTAAGTAGCCGCGTCCATACGCTTGTCCGAGCGAGTCCGAACGAAGACGATCAGAGCAGAGCGATAAAAGGCAAAACAGTTTATGATTTGACGCCGATTGGGTTGCGTTTTCAAAAATGGACGTGGAAAAACTTATTCAAGAAGTTTATTTACGAACACCAATATGGGATCAAAAAATTCCTTCTTACCACAACCGCGATTTAATTGCGAAATTATGGCAAGAAGTGTCCACAGCATGTGGAATTACAGGTAAATATTCTATATTCAACTTTATTATAATTCAATATACATAGGTTATGTTCTAAATATCTAAAGAAAATTTAATACACGGTGAGAAAAATAGTTAGATATATGTTTTACTAGGCAGAAAAGCACAAGATTTAATGCCGCGGCTGGTGTTTCATAGTCGAGGCTAGGAAAGCAGTCAAGGCAATAAATCTGATATTCTGCTATGTGGAACATTTAATTTTTTCTCCGAATTTGTTCTTATTTCCCTCATAGTCATCTTTTTCATATTGATTTCATTCCTAATATCCAAATAATTAAATTATTTTGACAAAAATTTAATATTGTCATTGTCATTGTCCATTTTGAAAACCAGATTTATTAATTATTATACCTGGAATGTTGCATAGAAACGAACTTTTAATGCCTGGGCAGTAATAAGTCCACTTTTACTGCCTATACACCTTTTGAGCCTGTCAAGTATCATTAAAAAGTTGCTTTTACTGTCATTCGGAGAAAAAGTATATTTTGTTAATTTGATAGGTAACATTTTTTTGAAAATAGGTACATTTGAAATGTTTATATTTATATATTTATATCATATTATACTGAAAGGGCACAGCTCCATTTGGACTATTGAAGTATCCCATATAAACTTGCTTCTGATATCTTGAGCATTTGCAGTAGAACTGTTGTTTTTTCTGTTCATCGATAAATTGGAATTCATATCTATCATCTCGGCTCGAAGGCCTTCTTTATCGCTCATGTTGTGCAATACACAAATGCACTTTCCAATTTTTCCTGCATTTTCAGGGTTGCATTCTATGGATTTGAGTAAAATCCGCCATTTTGCCGCAAGATACATGCACATTCAACTACTACTCGACAAGGATCTGGTGGTTTTATTTATAGAACCAGAGATCATGTGGTGATATAAGGCACTATCACGAAATATTCCACCATCTGATTAGTTTACCATAAGCTCCAATATCTATAAATATATTCTACGATTTGCATCGGCAACTGCCTGCAAAACAATGGAGAAATATCGTTTGTAATAATTATAATACGTCGATCCACTGTTGCAAGGACATTTAATGCGAATGTGCTTTCTGTCATTGCAACCAAAACAATTAGAGAAATTCCATCTCATAAAAAAATCTTTTGACACTTTCTTTAGATCGTCTTCTGAACTCTGAAGGAATAGCCAAACGAATTGAATGTAACTCCTCCCAAATTGCTTCGCACGTTTCTTTTACTATTCCAGCTATTGTTGAAAAACCCATTCTAAGCGCTAAAGCTCTGTATGACATACCGGTGGCTATTAGATATCTGAAAATAATAAAACTCGAAATAAATAGTATAATTATTTTCTTACAAATAAAATTTTCCTAACACTTATTTTGCACGACAACATAATGCAGAGAAAACACAAAATGGTTTGTTATTTTTTTTTTTTAGTTATACAAAATTTCAATAGTTCTGAATAATTTTTAGAAAACTATACACATTATTCTTTTTTTTTGTTTTGTTTACAGTAGATGTCGCCAAGCCAAAGTGGAAACATTTACGGGACAACTTCCGTGCGGAACTAAAAAAAGCTTGGAAGAAGAAGAAATCTGGGGATGCGGGAGGCAGTCAGGCATGCGAATCATCGTGGGTATGGTTTAAGAATATGCTCTTTTTAAAAGATCAAATGACTGGGAGAAAGATGCAAAGTAATCTACCCCTACCCGTCCAGGAAACAGAATTATTTGATGATCAAGAATCGCAAGAAAATACGGATGTTAATCCTGAAAAAGAAGAAAATCGAGAACAGGAGCAGGTTGCAGATACGCACAATGAAGACGAAATGCCAGGCACAAGCAAATCCATATCTGATAAAAAAACAAAACGAGCTCGTAATACTTCATTAAATAGTGCTCTTCTGGACCTCGAAAAAAAGAAAATTAAGCTGATAGAAAGTCATCTGCAAAATTCACAAACATCCTTTCCCCAAGATGATTGTCATCAATTTTTAATGAGTCTGCATAAACCGCTAATCAGTTTACCCATTGACCGTCAAATGTACGTTAGATTCAAATTCCAAGAGCTAATTTTTCAGGAAACGAATAACGCAGTAAATTGTCAATATTTGGATAATAGGTCTATTCAGCATTCACAACATAGCAGTAGAAGTAGAATGTCGACGTCTTCTCCTGCTGAATACAGTGACTCACAGTCTCGTACGTCATTCACGCCTATTCATCACACAGAACATATCAATCCATTGTCACCGCCGACATCTTCTGTTTAGCCTCATACGTTATTCACGCCTATTCATCACTAAGAACATACCAATCCATTGTCACCGTTGACTTCTTCAGTTCAGACTCGCACATCATTCACACCTTTTCATCACTCAGTGTTTATACAATGACTTATTTCCGCACACAACAGTCCGAATACAACCCGTCGTGGACTGCTTCGGCCCAGACTCACTCATATGAAGGAAAGTTACACATATTTAATTTTGTTTTTCGTTTACCGTAATAGATATTTTGTTTATAGAATAATAATAATGAAATTTTCAGCTCTACCTATATTATGTATTGTAACTAACTACTTATAACTGCCACAAGTATGTAATAAATACCTTAATGTATCTGCCAGTTTTTCAGTAGGAGTAATAGCTAAATTAGTGTTTTGCTTTTGCAAGTGAACCTCTATTTTTCTAAGGATGTAGTTCGAAAATATCCATGAAATCGTTGCGGGTCCTCCTTTAATTGCGCAAATAAATGTTGGAATTCCCCATACGCTGATCTGCCGAAGTTAATCTCGTGTGACCAGCACCTTCTTCTTCTTCTCCTGCTCCACATCCGTTTTACGACCAACGAATTTTCTAATAATAACAACAAACACGTTACGTCCATTTTTAAAACTGGGCACAGTGTTTCCTTGTACACACAATGAAGGACTATTCAGTTGATCTACGCCTGCGGAAATCCATCCCATGACATCTAACTAGTCGATTTTATTATATCTGGTCTGAAAGTATAAATATTGTTTTTCCTGTTAGTGTTGAAACACATCAAATTGCAGCACCCCAAGGTAGGAATCTCAGTTTGAATGTACCTACAAATTAATCGGATACGATATTCAAGACTCAAGAGCGCCTTTCAGCATTCGTTTTAATTTTCTATGGATGTTCCTTCGAGAACTCTTTAGAAATCGATTGTATTAAAATTACTGATACCATAGTAAGAAGAAAAAAAGTAAAGAATAGGAAAATATGAAGTGTTCTCGAACAACTCTATAAGGCGTAGACCCATAAGTATCATCGGAAATACTCCGATTTTTGTATGCTACAGAAAATAGTTGCTGAAGTCTCTTTTTAGCAGGATATGACGCAGGAGCAGGAAAGATTGGTGCGAAATCAGAAACCTGCCTAACGCTAAAAAGCAATATTTCCTGCATGCTAACCAGTTTGGTACATTCTCGCTAGATGACGCCAAAATTGCTTAGCAGGAGTCGTTCTCCTCTCCGAGCCTTCAGCAGGATTTCAAATCGTTATCTTTTTTCCTCCTTGTCTAATAATTCGCGTTTCATGATCCGCGGAATATGGAGAAGAAAGACCGCACTATCGGCTGAAATTCTAGGTTGGGTCGTTGAGTGCGGTCGATAAATTCATATTTTACCTTACGCGATCGCTTTGTTTCTTTTCATCTTGTAAATACCCGGCATAAGTTTATTTTTGTTTAACGCGTGGGGCTTATCCGTTTTAGTTGGATACACCTCCGACGTTTTATCTTGTGTGTATCTAGTTCAGACACAACCGCGAACCGAACCTAGAAACCGTAAAGTTTTTACTGTTTTTTAAGGTAAAAATCAGGTGTCAATCGTTGAGTTGTGATTTGTCCCGATCGAAATTAAAAACGTAACTCGCCCCCATAGATTGCCGGCAATGGTCAAGTTACGTCTAATTTATAATAGAGAAAAAAAATCTTGCCGAATTTAAACTGCAATATTTAGGTAAGTAAATTTTTAAATTTTTTGATAAGATCAGGGTAGTATTATCGCGATTTATTGATAAAACAAATTAACGCGTTACAATATTTTTTTGTTAAAATATTTACAGATGCTATACATTTTTTTCATAAATCGCAGATTTGCAGATAGGTATCTTGAGAAATTAGTTGGCGAAAAAAAAGTCTTTCATAGCATGCACAAGGCCGAATGTTGACACCTCTCACCTCTTACCGCTTTAAGTAATACCCCCGCAATTTGGTAATAACAATAATAATTCTTTTGTTGAGAAGCGTTTCATTCAAATAAATTAAATAAATGATGCCTACTTTATGTGATGCCATTTACCGTTGAACTTTACAATTAGTAAACAAGAGTATTTTGAATTTAAACTTAAATAGCGAACAGTGATAGGTAGGTGACGGTCGTTGCGGATTCCCCCCAATTTCTTCCTAATATTGATCTCTAGAGCCTGTCTTTGTCCTGCTTATAATTATTGCTGAAGCTTTGTCTCGCTTTCAGTAGACCCATGTCCATGTGGGTATATTTTTCAATTGCTGCCCATCCTGTGGAAGTGCATTGTTACATCCTCAGTGTTGGTATTATGAATCTCGACTCAGAAATGAGATGTACGAATCCACCTGTCGATTCAAGTAGGATAATCACTACTCATTTGTCGATTCAAGTAGGATAATCACTACTCATTACTACTTTGATAATTTAATTATTATATTAATGGTGTTTTTTGTTTCAAGGAACCTTTTGTTTTGGTCTTGTCAGTGTTTTTGTTTATTTTGCGCTCATAATCAATATTGCACAAGGAGATTTTTACCTTTTAAAACCGGCATAAATTTGGAGGATTTCCCAACTGGAATTGATTTATAGTCAGGAAAGGGATTTTGTTGTCGTGCCGAACTAGGGCTCAGGACAAAAATCGTTAGACAAGTGAGAAAATTATACTAGCTAATCCGGTGTTTTAGCATGGTTAAATTTAACTATTTTCATTGCACTGTTCAATTTGTGTAATCAAAAGAAACCCTTGTAACAGAAAAAGGTCACATAGTTAAAAGAAAGTAACAAAAAATCAAACTTATTAGTACCAATTTAAACGGACGCCAAAACATTCTGACGTCACTTATGGTAGTTTCAGAGAATCATCAATAGATGACGCCACTGAAGGATCCTATTCTGGTCGTGTCTAACGCAACTCTGTCAAAATTATATTTTTGGTCTTTTGTATGTAATTAATAAATTTTCGTTATAGCTCGAATAATATTGACTGAATGACAATGACAAAACAGATGTCAAAGGCTTCAGTGAACTTTATGAAAGACCAGTGCGCTATTATGTGGTATTGCGCCATCTTGTGGTATTGTGTGGAGTTTACGATAAGTGACGTCAATCCCTTACATGCCTCAAATGAATAAATTTTGATAATGTTTTATAGATGTTTGTGATGAAATTTATAAATTATTATTACAGAAAAAAAAAGATTACTATTTGTGCTTCTTTACTTTTTTTCAAAAAATCAATTTCCTTGTCTAAAGTCGAAAATTCAGCTACGCCAGAACTGTAGTCTTTTTGAACTCTTGATTTTGGCAAGAAAAAAATTTCCCAGCGAGACCCCTTAAACCCCACAATGCAACCCCATTTCAAAATAATACAATTTTTCACAAATCGATCATACTTTTTGAGCCCCACTAAATCTCTTAAAAAACAAAACGATTTTTTTTTTTTTGACAACCCCTTTAACGTTAAAAGTTAGCCCCAAATAAACCAATAAGATATTCATATAAAACAATATGTATGACTACACGGACCTAAAGATAGGTGACAAAAACATTCTTTTCATGCCCCTTTGAGAAATACAGACAATAAGGCCAGGCCAGAAATCGATAATTGGCAACATTTTCTCGCTCGCCCTTTCTATGTATAGATGTAGAATATTTTGCATGTTCAAGGGATTCAAGAAAGAAAATCTAATTTCCAGTAGGTATTTGTTTGTCGTTTGACCACATGAAAATAAGGACGTTCCTATACACAGTAGGAATTTAATATTTTTAACAACTCTATATTATCTCATGTCTCATGGGGATTAACACAGATTACAAAATTTTAGGAATTGCAGCCAATATTTTCAACAATAATATATTGTTATGCTAATAATTCCTTTATTGCTTTGTTTTTGATATTATTTCCAATAACAGCTGGGAAAAAGTTTATTTAATTAATCTTGAACTATAGTGAAATAGAATTCAATTTTTATTTTCTCTGTATTCCATTGACCTTTTATCACAGATAGCCAGAACAAATATCCCATTCATAAACCGATATTTTGTTATGATACCTACCAAAACCCATGTACCCATGGGCCAGAGAGCAGGTTTGTCAATTACAGCATATTGATGTTTCTTCGGAACTCTAAAATTTAAAGGGTGTGAAGTTACCAGAAATTGTCCTCAATCTTGTTTTTTGTAGCGTCTATCTGAAACATTGAATACAACCTTTTTCAATGATTGTAATGGTTAAAACAAGGTTAAAACCATGCATTTTTATTATTGCGCTGGACCATCCCTTTTTGAAAGAATCATTAGGCCAAAATAAACCATTTTAGTGAGCTGTCGGTCTATATAGCAGTTTAGGGCATCAAGGTATCTAATTATTGTATAATCATGGGGTCGACAACTCGCCCCTACACTTATATACTACGTAACGATATTACCCGAAGTATTCAATGTACCATGTCTTTGGAGAGGATTATTACATACCTTCCTAATTGAAATGCGTTAATACATTTAACTTCAAGCCATGCAGCCTGCATTTTATAGCGCAGTTATTCGAAAAAGATAAGGATTGAAGAGATCAGTTTGAGGTATATCAGACACAAAACTTCCTAAGGACCCCAAAATCCATAACTCCGTAAAGAAATAGGCTAACAAATGTATGAGAGATATTGATAAAAAAAAACCCAGATCAGTTTGGATGAAAGGTGAGAGCCATCGGGATACCATGAGCGGAAAGATACATGGTCATGCTGAGACAAGTGGGTCGCCCCAAAAGAGGTATTGAGGGATTGATAGAAGAGGGGTTTTGTTACAGCATCCCTAAAACTGGGTTATCATCGGCAGAATATTTCTTATTGGAGAATGCTGTTGCTTGAGTTGTGGAAGCATTGAATTTGATTAGGTTGTTGAGGCCCCATTTGATAATGGTGTCAAGATCACTGTTGATAGAGTGAATCTGATCTCGGACGAGACGTGCGGAAGTGGCTGCAATATAAGCGGCTTGTCC